CATTCTACTCTATTAAAGGCCATACCTTCAGTGAGCCCAAAAGTTCCCATATCGTTTTGGACTCCTTCCAACCACGTCCTTTTGGGCTTACCCCTAGCGCTTGTCAATCCTTCCACTTGAACTAACTCGCACCTCTTAACAGGTGTTGTATTGGGTCGGCGCTATACATGGCCAGCTCACCAAAGTTTGCTTTCTCTCATGTTATTGCCTATTGGTGCCACACCTAAATTATCCCGAATGGATTCATTTTGAATTTTATCCCTTCTTGTCTTGCCATCATCCATCAATAAAAATAATAAGCATTAAGTTTATTAACATTCAGATAGCAAGTTTGTCAAGCTTCCCATGTATTAGGTTATCTAAGCTATATGGGTGCTTTTATTTTATCAATTGTCAAATAATATTCTTTGATTTTCTTTTTCTTTATTTGGTTTATCTCTTTTTTTGATTGATTCCATTACACTATCGATTTAAAGCATCGTAATGTTACCAAGTTTGGGTTCGAGAGTTAAGCTGGATCTGAATATGGCAGACCCTCTTAGATCCCAGGATTATATGTTACCGACATGATGCCCCTAAGCACTCCAAAAAGTAAGTTGGAGTGGTGAAGTGAAGAGATCACAATGATCTCCTTAGGTTATGAGCTTCACCCTTGTTGCTTCCAAGGATATAAGCTTGGGATGGGAGTGGTCTTCACTCCACACAAGCCAAAATGCTTTGTGGAGTAGGGTTTGATCCAAAAAATTTGCAAGGGGTTGGGTTAGAATTGGTTTGATTGGTTGTAAATAGGATAGAGAAGGTTAGGCTTAGGCTTTTTGTCTCTAGGAACTTGTCTGACAAGGAAAACTAGGCCTCAAGCTTTCACCATTTTTCTTTCCCTAGAATTCTGCACCCCCAACCTTCTAACCCTCAAAACGAACAAGGCATGGGGTATTAATCAACCCTAGACATACATGGGTGGGAAACTAGATGTTCAAACTCAAATCATATGTGGGTGGAAAACTAACTTTTTGCCCCATTTTTTGATCAAAGCACAAGTTAATTATGGTTGTTTGGGCAAAAATATCTATGTTTTGCTCTTTGGAACTTTGGTTCATCATTTGTCGTCACTTTCCTTGTTATTTCAGCGAAATTTTGATGGATGGCCATTTTCTCTCCATAAATTTGTGTGAGGTCATTTTGTCTCAAGTTTCATTTGAAAACTTGTCATATTCATGAAGCTATGATGATTTAATGGACCTAGGTCATTACGCAGCAATATCAATTTTGGGCTGCATTTGGGCTTCAATCCAGCTTCAATCTTGTAAATAGCTATGCAATTGGTTTTATTGATGTTTTGGGGATTGATTGAGGAGCGTATCTGCAAATTTTCAGCTCCAAATGCTGTCCGGTTTGGGAGAAATTGATCAAAAGGCGGGTGGAGGTCATGGAGCCTGTAGCCAGTAGTCACTGACCCATTCGATCCTCTACTTTGATATCAAATTCTGGTATCAATCCACAAAAATAAACCTATTGACATATATATGGATGGAAAGAGCGTTGGTTTAAGAAACAATCCATCAAAATTTCAGCTAATTTCGCTGTGGGGTTTGAGAGACACTGCCCAAAAAGTGACCAGAAAATTAGGAATTTTTTGGCCTTTAATGGCCTTGAGAGCATGTAAAACTCATGACTATGGTGGATATGTACTCCAGTGGGAGTGTGGTCCGTGTAGGACCAATATGGTATTTCATGACATGTTGGTTGACTCACTTGGATTGGGCGATCTAGACCTGGAACCGAGTCCATAACCCTTACCCCTGGGCATATGGCACTACCAGAGAAGGTTCTATTGTAGGGTCATCCTTTGTTGAGGTCAGAGAGATTCCTCGAGATGATGTATATGACCAAGGAGGTTGGTGGTCTCTTGTATGCAGTTGGAGGCTTGTAAGGGCAAGGGCCAAATCCTTAACAACGATCGCATGACATGGACACTTGGGGGTAACCTATAATCCACAAACTAGATTTGTTTCCCACTATTTATTAGCTAGCTTTGATGAGCCAATCATGAGCCCTTGCGTCTGATTGTGGTTTATTGATCCGATTGGGTTAGTTTGAGAAGATAGTCTGTGGGTCATGGACTTTTAACATAGGTGGAGTGCCCTAGAGATCTCATATTCTTGATTTTGTGGTATCAATCCTCTTCTAGAAGCGTTTATCAGACACTAAAAAATATTTTTCCTAATTCTATTTATACTATGTGAATTTTTTAATTCAATTAAAATATTTTCAGCCATCAAAAATTCATTTTATTTTATAAAATAGTTTTATGGCATTTTTGATATTTATAAAATTATTTGGGGCAATTAAAATATGTGGGCCCGCATGGGGCACCAATGGCTGTATGCATATATGGTTGTATCATTGTATGGAACTATGAATTATGGGATGGTATGAACTATGGAGCATGAAGTATGGTCTATAGAGTATAGATTATGGATTATGCCTATATTACTAATTTACTAATTACTATTATATTTTATTTTTGGTTGTGCTAGTAGTCTATCGATTACAAATTTACAATGGTTTGGAAATTTGAATTACGGGATTTTTAATATTTTATGATGTATACTCATATTTCCCTGCTCCCTGACCTTTTTCTTCAACATAGGTCTAGGCTTCCCATAAATCTAGGCGTCCACCTAGCCACTGGGCAGCCAGGACCCCCATGACGGCCTAGGTGCCGCCCGGCATTTTTTGGAACACTGCCGGCTTGGGACTGGCCACCGGCTTGGGACTGGTCATGGCGAAGTTGCGGGCATAATAAAGAAAAAGACAAATTTTTGAATTTATATGCTGCACTATTCTACAATGCCCACCTTTGATGGAGGCCATCCTGTCTAGTGCCTGTTTGGGGTCTACAAATGGTGCACGAGCCATGTTTGTTCATGGGTACACTGTGAATGACTAATGAATAGTAAAATCACCCTTGGTGTCCCTGCAAACATCTCTTTGAAAATGGTATCAAATGGTATCTAATTGACCTGAAATTTTGAATATGAGCTGTTTAGGGATCATTCTATCATCCTACCAATTTCGGCTTCATTGGATGCCATTTGCTGATGGTTGCTTGGTAAATTGACCCACTTTTAGGATGTGAACGGTGCTCCGTAAGTGACCTCCGAATCTAATACCCTATATCTTGTTCATCTGATATTAGAATATATTGATTTTTGGAGGGTGTCTTGCACACCTCTTAGATTAACCTTCAGGTCCAAATTGGTGGCCATTTGAGCCCATCCAGTTGGGGTTTAGCTGTTCCCCAATGTCTCAAATTCATGATTTTTACCCTGGTGGTCCTACTTCATCTATTGAAAGGGTCCCCCAAATTTGACCTTGATTTGAGACTGTTAGATGGTCTCCTGCAGATTCTGGCAGTTCCAGTGTATATGGTATCGTGTGCCTGTTTGACTGGTCAGCCTTGTGCTTCTATAGTTGGTGGACTGCCATCTTTTGGATGCCATCGTATTCCCTACCTTTTAAGGGTTTGTCAAGTGATGGATTCTGATGTCCACCTCCACCCCTTGGTTTTGATCCCATGTTGTTGGGATATGATGGCGGCACTATAGTCTAGTTTTGTACTCCATACTTCAACAAAACTGGTGCGATGCCATATTGGGTGTTCTAATACAGAACTAAAGTGATGTTTGAACAACCCAAAAAAACCTAGAATGATGTTGGTTTAGAGAAAATGTTAATTTTTTATTTGGAAAGAGACATGCTTGTCTCTTGAATAAAGCTTACTAGATCCATCAGAAAATTTCTTTCACAAAAGGTTTCTGATGATTGCTTATCACTGTCCCTGAGATCTATGAGAGGTATGTGTTTGAAGAATTGGCACCTATACCTGAAGGAATAGTAATTAGAAGCCTTTGCCGGAGAATAATGCTAGACAGCAGCTGTAGAGAAATGAAACCTTGCGTCTTCAACGTGAGATGTCATTGTCTAGTGGAAGTTCTGGTAGAGGTAAAACTCGCAAGATTTCTGTCTTCACTTCAATTACCATCAGAATACTGCACGCATCACATATGAATTATTTGCTTGCTATTTTGAATGATTGAGGGAGTTATGCTTAGGAATTCCCAGATATTAAATTTGAATTAAAGGGAATTTCTTGACATTTGTGTTGCTCCATGACCTAGATTTTGTAGGCACGTGGTGCTGTTTTTACCAAGCATAATGCTGTTGTGCAGTTGGCGGCTTCATCTTTGGGACCTTTTTTTTGGTTAAACAGAGATGCAATTTCTAGATTACTTCCTTTCTTAAGCTTGTAGTGGGGTTTGAGTTGGTAGTGCTTTAGCAGTCCTTGTGAATTAAGGCATATGAGTTCTTTATATCGGTAAATTTCAAAATCAGTTTCTCGATATTATATTGATTTAATATATTATTTAGCATCTATTCTGATATTTAAAAACTTGTTGAATGTACTAGAAATGTATTCTGATCTGTGTGCTAACTACATACGATGTTGTAAAGTTTAGCTTGTCTAGTACTTGATCATAGGGGCAGTTGACAACAGTCACAAAATGTCAGATGCATTTGATTTTTGCATGCATTAATTTTTTTTTTATAGATGGTATGCAATTATATAAAATTAAAACACTTGGGGTTTCTTTTATTTTGCTATATTAGTTGCTTTTGCTTCTTCTCATGACACTTTTAGAAACCATGCTCCATGCTGGAAAAATCGGTAACTACCCAGGAGTGAAGTTTCTTTGCATGCATTTTATGCTTTAATTTTTACCAAGGTGCTTTGACGTTACTATGTGAGTGTTTGGTACATTCATTTGCTTTCTGATTGCACTATTGTACCCAAGATTTAGTATCCAATTTGCATTTTGGATGTTTGTCTAATTGTTGTATATGCTTTATTTGATAAAGTTTTGTACTTCATCACTGAATTCCTTCTTTTTGTCTCTTTAAACAACCGTATCTGTGTCCAATGACAATTTTTTGCATAGGTTCAGCGGATAAAACTGTAAAATTCTGGGACCTTGAAACCTTTGAGCTAATTGGGTCAGCTGGACCCGAGGTATGTTATGTCTGCCTCGTATCTGATGTTCTCGCTAAGCATTTATAAAAAACCATTGCCTGCTCATTTCTGTGTTGTTCCCCCCTGTTTGTGGTATATTTTTATTTTGATTTCTTAGAATTATAACTTGGGCCTAGTGATTCATCTATTTCTCTTAATGGGGTATACATGATAGTCTTTTTTAAGGGTGCCATCAGCCAATGTGGAAAGTTGTGTGGTTGTGTTATTTCAGGGCAGTTATTACATTCTGCTGATTTTTATTTTGAGTTTCAAATTGGGTTGTTAAAGGTGAGGTGTCGAGGTGAACTGTTGAAATGAGTGGACAATTATTACATGCTGCTGATTTTTGTTTTGAGTTTCAAATTGGGTTGTTAAAGGTGATGCATCGAGGTGAACTGTTGAAATGAGTGGAGAGATCTAAAGTTGAGCCGTAAAGGCATATGAGTTGTAGTTCCAAAAACTATCTTAACTCTTAGGAAAATATAAAAAGAATATTGCAAGGAAAAAATATGTCACAGGTTAACATTTCAAGAAAAAGAAAAAGAAAAAGAAAAGAAGATGTAACTGGAAAAAAAACAGTTTTATCTTATTCTATCAGCATATTGATTTATCATTGCTAATGCTTGGTCTATCAATTCTACAAATATATGACTTATATAACCGCACATGAATTTTAAATTCAGAAACCTGAACTAAACATCAGCATATTTAACTATTGGTTGATATGACACCGTAGTTAAAGGATAGGATGTCAAGGTGCTTGCTTCAACAAGAAGGATTGATTTTCAAGTTTCGCCTTTATCAGGGAATATCTTGGGTTGTCTATTTATAACTGTAAACCTAATAAAAAGTTTAGAGGACCCAGTTATTGAGGGCATGCGGAGCAGATTGGGTGCTCGGAACGGAAAATTACTCTCATGATAACATCATCATATTGGCTTGCTGTACACTCTGGGGATTATGTTTGGATTAGCTAATATAACAGAGGATCAGTTCAGTGTTAAGTAACAGTTTGGTTATCTCCTCCCAGTTTCTCAGATAAGCTAATCACGAGGTGGATGTGCTTGCTAAAAAAATTGCTTCAGGTTATGGTCTTATATGGGAACATATCTGTTCCTTTTGATCTCTATTCTTGGGTTTTTTTCCCATCTCTATCATTTATTTTTTGATCCTTTCTTGCGGTTGCGCATCTCAGTTGTATGTTTCATGCAACTTGGCATGATTTTCATCTTCTATAGTTCTATTATCAAAGAAAGAAAAAGTTAAATTATAGAACAAAATGAAACAGTCTTCATGCTTGCTTACAATGCATTTGATCTTGTGGCTTGACACCCTTTGGAGCAACTTTATGCTGTTAGTTTACCGAAATGAACTGTTAGTTAACTGCTTTGTTGGGATAGCATTGAAACCAAATTTATTCCGAAGGACATATGTTAGAGTTCTAAGTCCATTTTCTTTACATGAAAATATTCAGTTTTGCATGGTTATTCTTATTCTCATTTAGAAATGCATGAAAACTTCGATGGGGGGGCAAGAGTGTAGGTTTCTCAATGACTGCTTTTTTCCAATGAGGCTCTTACAGGTGATCACCTCCGGCTTCTTGGGATTCTATTCTTGAATATGTGTTGGCATCCTGTGATTCCATTCTTGAATTTGTGCCTCCTTTTCAAGGAGATGCTGGTCCGATTGATTCTAAATTATCAATTTGTTGATGATGTCCACGCAGTTGTCCAAGTGGTTTCTAGCCTCACCGACTTAGATTTTGATGTATAATTTTCATGGGAGAATGTACCTGCTGCTGTCTTCTGGAAAATTTGGATTGAGAGAAGCAGCATTAGCTTTGGAGGATTTGCTAGAGGGGTTGATTTTCTTGGCAAGGTGGCAAGAAATTCCATGACCCCTTGGTCTTTGTCCCTCAAATATAAAGGGATTTAGAGTTGTGCAATTAAGACTGGACCAGATCAGCCAGCTGGACCAGGAACAGGTGCACACACCAGTTGGACCGGTGTGGGCCTGCAACCAAATGAAACTGCAGAATATCTGGTTTGGTCCAGTGTAGCCGCTGCTATAAGAACAGTGGAAGTTGAAAGTATTTAGTTTTCTGGTCATTTGGACCCTCATTTCAATCAATTCAGAGTTTTTCCGTGTGTTTTGGTCCCAAATAAATTTTGGTGGAGACAATTATACATGGCCTCTCTCTCTACCAGTCTCTCCTAAACCTTAACTAATTTGCAAGTGTTTTCCAGTGAATGTTAGGCAATTCTAGCAACCCGATCTATTTTATTTGGAGCGTGTATATCTCACAAGTAAGTTTTGGTTTTAGATTTTCTTGTTAGGTCATTCAAATCTTGGGACAAGTGGTTTTTGTGTTTTGGAAAACAGTAAACAATCTGAACTTCTGAAGTTTGTAAAACTTTAATTTTTTGGCTTACTTGTTACCCTTTTTATGTTGTAAATTTGTAATCGATTTCTGGTAATTTGAATTTGTTATTTTGGGTGGAGGGATAATGTTTGGTAGTTTGGGTGGAGGGTTATTGTTTGGTAGTTTGGGTGGAGTGTTATGTCTAATATGTGATTTTTGTAGTTGACTTTCTATGATAAATTTGTGATTTTTAGTTAATTTCTCATTAGGGTGGGACCATAGGACTTTGTGACTAAAACTTAGTCCTTGACAATTGATGTCATATGGGATCTGCATTACTAGTTTGATTTCCTTCAATACTTAATGTGCCAATGGTCTATGTACAATTGGTTGGCTTCTTAGCTCCAATTTTCTTATTGTTTATATGAATTGTCTGTTCTTTTTAGAAAATTTGTCATTTTTCATGTTTCCTTCTGTTTCTTTGAATTGTTTTCATTTTATTTGTATTATATTGTTTAGTATTTTGAAATTTGATGCCTATGACATGTGAACCTGTCTGATCAGACTGGTGTTTCCATCAGTTCAATGGTGGGTCCGGTCTTATTAACATTAATGTAGCGCACATAACCAAAATAGCAACTGGATGATAGTTCCTGTTCACAACTCTTTATGGGGTGATGGGCTGGTGCTACATTGGATGATGAACATATATAGTGCTCCATTAGAAACCTGGGATCCTTGAACATGGGAGTTAGTTTACGAGACTAAATGGCAACATGGATGGGAGACGCATTGGAGGACTGGTACCATGTTGATATTAGCACGTTCTGAACTTTACCTGTTGGTTTTGGCAGCTTATGCACACACACACAGAGAGGTATTTACATATATTTATACAGGTATTTATGTGTGTATACACTTTGTTAGATAGATACAGACCCAACGTGTGTTTGTGTGTCTATTTGTGTATGTTACATGCTTCAAAGCTTGGTACCTTGTTTGTGTGGGACTCCTCGGAAGTATTTTATAGTATTCAAACAATATTCTAGAGTATGCGCTTAGGAACTAGTGGGAAGCCACCTTGCCCACTGTTGGATGTGTTTTTATGGGATCTCCATTTGTCATCAAGCACCACTGTCAATTACTCATTGCATAGTGGGGATTCCTTGCTATCAGACCAATCGTGGGATGGGAAACAGCCATTTTCTAGGGGCAAAATGCTCACCTGATGATCTCCCTTCAACGTATTAATTGAGTGTATGTATATACATGCAACTTGGTGCATTTCTTTTGTTGTTAACACTCATTGTGGTTTAAAACAATACATTGTGGAAATGTAGAGGTTGAGCATGTCCATTTATACTGGAAATGCCCAGAGTTCTTCAATTTACTTGTCATTTGATAATTTGCGTTGTGTACGTAGATGTCATTTGCATCTTGATTATCTTTAGGAGCACAGAACAACCTTTTTCTGTTTTTGCAGGCTTCAGGAGTGCGTTCAATGACCTTCAATCCCGATGGGAGAACCCTGCTCTGTGGATTACATGAAAGCCTAAAGGTAAGATAATTCTTCACCTACAATTCCATAATGCTGTATTTCATTCAAGATATTCGTTTACCGTGGCTTCATTTCAAGCACGTGATTTGAGATGATACTTTGCAGGTTTTCTCATGGGAACCTATAAGATGTCATGATGCTGTTGATGTGGGGTGGTCTAGATTGGCAGATCTGAACATTCATGAAGGCAAACTCCTTGGATGCTCTTATAATCAAAGTTGTGTTGGAGTATGGGTTGTAGACATATCGGTATAGAATATGTCTCCTTTTATCTTATTGGCTTACTGTATTATGTTTGCAATTAGCGTAGAATTGTTATGCCTATGACATGATACTTATCTTTATCATATCCAGCGGGTAGGGCCATATGCAGCAACTAGCTTGCCCAGGTCAAATGGCCATTCAGAATCAAAGTCTGGTCCCTCGGGGAACCAGATTGTACACCAATCAGAGAGTACTACTGTAAAGGTTAATATTGGAAGACTATCAATCTCACAAAATTCAGATACTGTTGTGAAAGAACCCAAGAATTCTTTACCCATGTCTGGTAGGTGTATTCTCTTAACTCTCTTTTGTTGGTCGTAAGGCTAACATGGTGGCCCCTTGGATTTCCTTTTTGTGGTATGGCTTGTCCATTTCATGAGGAGGACCTAATTTGTTCTTCATGCTGTTGGCGTTTTGCTTAATGTGTAGCAAGTGGAAGTGTTCCAGGTACTCCTCAGAGGCTTGGATTAAACAATGGTCCCAAGGTACTTCCTCCAAGTTCCACATCAGCATCTAGTGCATCATCGTTGAAGAGAAGTGTAGGAGCAAAAGTCCAACCAGCATCTAATCTTCAGATGATTAACAAGCCTGAAATTGTACCTGTGATTGTGCCTAGAAGTAGTGCCAGAGTGGATCAGAGTCAGAGTTTAGATTCCAGGAAAGAAAGTAGTGTTGTTGGGAGAACGATTCCATATTCAATACAAGCAAAGTTAACTGAACCACGGAAGCTATCAGTCAGCAGAGACGATCCTGAGAAAGTGAATGTTGCTGGGCAATCTGGACCCATGGGTCATAAAAGCACTGAAATGAATGAAGGAACGGACCAAAATTTTCTCTCTGGGTTTGATAATACGTGTGGACCAACAACAGCACCTGAAGGGAACAGGGGAGATATCAGATACATGGGTGCAGGGAAGCACCGATTAGATATGAACCTGGAGCCTCCTGCAAACTATTCTCGTAGAAATTGTATGCTTTAACTTCTGAACCATTTACTTTTCAATCATGGCTGATCCAGTTAGATGCTTTTGTCTTCTTAATGGCATGTGGTCTGGCTTCTGTTTTTCTGTGCTGGTTGATTTTTGTCTCCATAGCATTTTCTGTTGAGATTATTTGTTGTGTTACTCTTATTTCCATAGGCTTAACCCCATCCATTAGAGCTGTGGCAATTATTATGTAGATACCTTCCCCTAAGGTACCTGCCGATAGTCCTTATCTTGACGAGGAGTTTTGACATTCTTGGTTTTTACTGGTTTGGACAGTTGACTTTCTCTATCCAACAGACCATGAATAATTTGTTCCTGATTCATGATCTATTCGGCAGAACCATGTGTTTCTTGTTGCCAGAATCACACCATAATGGTATCTGTACATGTAACAAATACTTAAAGCAATCATGTAAGTCCCAAATGAAATTATTAATATTCATACTCGAAAGCCTATACATATGTTGGTTGCTCTACTTTGTTTATATGATCCGTTCAGTTCATTTTATCTGGACTATAATTTGTGCAGCTGTAGAAATGGAAAGAAACTTTTTCCTTTGACGAGATATGCACTGGAAATTAGAAGGAAAAAAAATGACGAGTTGCATTGGATCGTTCAATCGATTGTATATGTTGACTATGCATAGTTGTGAGAACCTCATGCTTGGGTGGCATTCCTGGTCTTTGATGATCCTTTCATGGAAAACCATCTAGTCTCTTTTCTTCACTGCTCCCAGATAACTTTTTCTGAATTTCTGGTGTGGGAGGAGTGAGATTGACTTTTTTTTTAGATTGTGTTGTTTTCTGATTGTGCCCTTTCAAGGATTCGTTTTTAAGTTTTGCAGTCTTATAGTTCATTCTACAGTTGAATTCTTCTATGGAATCACTTCGAAATTTCATAGTTCTTGAGACTCTAAATGCATCTGTTCGCCCTGGTTCCCTTTTGCAATTTAACTGATACCTTTCCATATTTTTTGAGCCTGTATATCATCCCAAATATTTTTCTAGGGCTTCTGATGTGTTGCTCTGACTTTTATCTTCTTCCTTAATTCTTGAGATTGTGGTTAAATTTTCCTTTTAACATACAAACACTTTTGTTGTTTAGAATCTATTCATATTTGAATGCAACATGAAGTTCCCTTTTATCTAAAGAAACAGATGTGGTTTGCACTGTTGCTTTCTTTTCAGTTGACGGTAGGCTGCTTCAAACTACGAGGGAAACAAGCTCTATTGAAGTTCCTGGAGGTAGCTTTTTGGGTCTGGCAGAACAATTTTTGGATGGTAGGATATTTAGTCTTGCAGTGATGTAATTCTTATTCTGTAATTGGTCCAGGGAGAACCCGTTCTCTTGTTGCTAGTTGGGAAAGGAGAGAAACATCTCCAAGCTTTGATGCATCAACCACCAGTTACTCCTCTGAGACAATGCCTGAAGGTCATGTGCCTTCACTTAACTTGGTATGTTGTTGGCACTTCATTTAATATGGGCATGTAAGATAATAGTATTTCACTGACAGTGAAGTTCTCTAAATTCTAAGAAACCCTTTTCTTAACCTTTTAAAAGATTTATCTTTTATGTTTTTCTTTCGAGAAATCTAAAGAAACAATTTAGTCCTGCTGTTAAATTCTTTCGTATATCATTTTCCTTGGAGTGTGGAGTGAAACTTAGTTTTGGCTCAAGGATTAGGCCTGGTCCCAGGCAGAGTCAATTTGGTAGGACTTGGTATGGTTTGGCCTATCTTTTGTTATTAATTAATAAGCTAAACAAATAGGAATTGCTATGAGTAATTTGGCCTTTCTTTTGTTATTAATTAATAAGCTTAACAACTAGGAATTGCTATGATTCACCAGTACCCAATTGGGTTGACTCCTTTACCCAATTTGTTAAATATTGATTTAGATCGGAATTTATGACTTGTGTATTGCCACTTTAGTAAGCATTTAATATATTTTATTTATATCAGAAATTTTTTGTATTCTGGGTTCCTAAAAGCAATGCTTAAAAAAGGTAGGTGGTGCCTAGGCAAACATGGGGCTCTGGTGTCAACTGAGGTGCTGCAGACACACATCTATACCTATATGTGCTCTCCAAACATGCGCACTTGTGCGCGCACACACACACACACACACTCATATATTTGGCTAGAACACATTGAGATCATTGAATCACATTTCACAGTTGTAAACAGTAAAAGATAGTAGCAATAAAATATCCAAAATAGAAATACCAACGTGATATGGCTAAATATACTAGCTTATGGCTTTATATCGTGTCCAATACCACATAAAGTAATACTAAAATGCAAGTCCATAGACCATGGACTCCCTAAACAGTCCAATTCACGATATAGTGAAAATCAGAAGGATAAAGGATACAAAAGAAACAAAAGAGACAGCTTAGTAGTCAATCTCCACCAAAAGAAACAAAAGAGACAGCTTAGTAGTCAATCTCCATCTTCTTTTTTTGATCATTTACTGGAGGGGGTAGCAGATGGTTTAGAGACTCCTTTTACTGAGGATGAGATAAAGGCAGTAGACTGCCATTGGACATGACAGGGCACTGGGTCCAAATGGTTTTACTATGATTTTCTTTCAATATTTTTGGGAGTTAATTTTAAATATTTTTTTTTGGGAGTTGGTGATGGAGATTTGGTTCTTATGTTCAATGAGTTTCATGTGAGAGCCATATTTCATGGAGGAATGCAGTCACTTCACAACTTTGACTCCTAATGTTGCAGGCCCAGTGGATATCAAAGATTGTCGGCTCATTAGCTCATTAGGAAGCCTTTACAAGATTCTTGCCAAGTTGTTGGCATTTAGATTGAGGGAGCATCTGGGTCATGTGATCTCTCTAGAACATGGAGCTTTCATGAGGGGTCAACAGACTTTCAATAGCGCTTTTGTTGCCCATGAGTGAATTGTCTTGAGGCACAACGATGAGGCGCGGGGATTGTATCTAAGGTTGACATGGACAAATCCTACAATCATGTTGATTGGGGCTTTTAAGATTTGTATGATTAGCAGAATGGGGTTTGGGGAAAGGTGGAGGAGGTGGATTTCTGCATATGTGACCCATCCTTGGTTTTCAATGATGGTGAATGGGTCGTTACGAGCATACTTTCGAGCATGTAGAGGTCTCAAGCAAGGTGATCCTGCATCGCTTTTTTTTTCCCTTCTCTCTCTTATGATGGTTGCAGTGGTTTTCAATAGGTTGCTTCTTAGGAGTGCGGAATGTGGGGCCATTATGGGTTTTCGTGTTGGATGTGGTGAGCTGCATGTCACACTTACAGTTTGCAGTTGATGCAATTATATTTTGTGATGCATATTTAAATCATTTAGCTAAATCATGGTTTGCATTGTGATATAATGAGATGGTGACTGGTATGAAAATTAATTTTTACAAGGGTTCAATGATGTGGGAGGAAGGGGCTCAAAGTATAGCTAGTTAGGGTGGAGGGATGCCACAACGTGACGTATTGAGTTCCATTCCTATCAGGTCCAAAGTTAATATTTCATAAAAGAAGTTATATGGTGGGGGTTTGCATAAGGGATGAGGACATGTGATCTTTGGCTGATGGATTTGGGTGCCAGGTTTCATCTCATCCTCACAAATATTTAGTCTTTATTGGACAACCGAAGAAGAGTTTATGCTATCTTGTGGTGGGTAGTGTGGAGAGAATGGAGAGGAGATTTGGCAATGTGGAAAGGCAAGTTGACTATCCGTGGTCAGGATGAGCACACTTCTTAAAGCCATGTTGGCAAACCTACGAGTATTATGTCTCTGTCTCGTATACTGGCCAACGTGGTTGATGGGTTGGAGAGATTGCAACAGAGATTCCTTTGAAGGTGGACTTGTCTGGGGCATAAGTTTCACCTTGTTTGTTGGAAGAGGTATGTAGACCGATGCGATGTGGGGGATTGGGTACACAGAAGACTTGAGAGGGTGGCCCTTTTGGCGAAGTGCCTTTGGTGATTAGGAGAGGAGAGCAAAAGATTACAGAGGGAGATTATTTGATGCAAGTATGATTTATCTGAGCTGGGCTGGGATCAGAGGATTCCAAGTAGACACGCTAGAGTTTCGGCGATTTGGTGGGGTATAAGTTAAGTGTACACTGGTTTTTTCAGACATTAGATTTGTGATTGGGGGTGGAGTATTCGTGTGGTTTGGGCTGGGCATTTAGCGTGGGGATAGCTTTTGCGGTTGTTTTGAGGGTCCCCATGCTCCACTCTGAGCTTCAGCTTTTTGATGGTTGGCATGCCATGGGATTATATTAACGATTAACTGCTTTCAAAAGCGGGTATGCAGATTCCAGTAGGTGTATTTTCTGTCAAGCAAAGGAGGAAATGACTAGGTACCTTCTCATTCACTGTAGGTATGCTATGACCATGTGAGGCTATTTTCTTAACCTCTTAGGCATGCAATGGTTGACCCCAGCTTTTGTAAAGGACCTTATAATGCGGTTTGTCTCTTTGCCAATTCCACCTAGGGGCTCGCTGGATTACTTGGTGCATTTGGATAGAGCAAAATGGTTGTATTTTTTGGGGGATCAAAGGTTTCATGAGATGGTTCTTTGGAAGAGGGCTAGGAATATGGTGGTTCGGGGACTTTGCTTTGACCATAATTTCACTGCTTCCAAGCCAGTGACTTCGTCAAGGGTTGGAAGTTTTTGGCCCCATTGGATCCAAACCCTGCTTCATTCAGACCGTGCTGTTTGGGTTGCTCCTATGGATAGAGCTAAATATTGATGGATGCTCACAGGGTAATCCTGGACCAAGAGTTTTGGGTACGGTTTTTAAAGATGAAGAACGTAGGGTGGGAATTGGGCTTGTCCGGAAGAACAACTAAATTTGGCCCTAGGGTGGGCCAGGTCCTGAAATTGTCGGTCCAAGTTTGGGACAGGGTGGGTTTGATCAGTGATATTTGGCTCGACCCCACCACTGTATTTATATAAATTTACAAAAAAAAATAATATCTAATTATTCTAATAGCACGGCCAGGCCTTGTCTTGCCGGACTCCATTAGCAGGGCCATGCTGGGCAACGTAGCTCAAGAGTAGGGCCCAGTGTAGGCTAGGGCCTCTTTGGCCCTGTCAGGGCTAGGCTAGGCCCTGGCGGCCCTCTAGGATCTTGTGCTAGGCTTGGGGCACCCCAGATCAGCCCATTTCCATCCTTAATTAGGGACCACTGGGGATATGTGATTTTATAATAATCGAGGCTTGTGCGTTGCTTACATGTTTATTGATCCGTCCTTTCCATTTATGGAGTTGATTGGTACTAAAAGGGTATTGTCTTACCTCATAATAAGGGCCTGTAAAGAGTCGTTTATTCCATGGAGGTTGGCTATGATGTTTGGTGAGATCTTTGACATTTGTGACACTAAGAATGTGACTTTTGTGCACATTCTTAGGGGAGCTAACGAAGAGGCTGATACCCTAGCCAATGAATGGGTTCTTTGTGAACCACTCTATGTAGATGCAAGTTCTTTGTTGTGGTCCTGAGATGCTGTCATGGCATCTCTTGACCTTTGTTTTATGTTTTTGATTTTCTTTGGAAATTTATTTTAGAAATAAAATTTATTTGTTGATAATAAAAAATAATATTTATCTTCTTCTTAATCTTCGGCTTCTTTGTAAACAATTTAGCCTTCATGTCGAGTTTTATTTTCTCAAAAAAGTTCGAGGAATCCTGAATTTTGAGGCTTTTTGGATTTGAAGAACCCTAAAATTTTTATTTTATTTTTTGTTGGGGGGTGGGGGGAGATGTTTAGGATACCCAGCCACACCACCAAACTACCACCACATCCTTTTTTCCCTTATATTAGGAGTAAAAAGGACTAAAAAAGTCCTTGCCTGAAGGCAATTCTTGGCCTCGGGCAAGGGAAAACTGAGGCAGATTCCTCAGCTGAGGCATGAAGTGTCTGCCTTTGGCAATGTTGTCAAGGAGGCCTGCCTAGGCGGGGCACCTAGGTGGCCAAGGCGGGGCAGTTCAGTGCAGCCACCTAGGCACTAGGTGGGCTATTTTTTTGTAACATCACGAAAAAGTGAAACTGTTCACACCTGTTCTGTATACACATGCTTAGCTGAAAGAGATGCTTCATCCAGAAATCATTGGATCACCTCTCAAGTTTTGAAGTCACTTTGACCAAGCTCTGGTATCTTCTTTGTATTTTCTTGAGTTGTATATATAAAAATAGAGTGTTCGATACTAACATATAATGCTCCTTATGTTGCGACGAAGCCTCATGTGGGTATATATTGCACGAATTGCGTCTATGTTGCGCAGAAAAATATGGAAGCTAGTATCATCTCGGTGATGAAGGAGATGAATCCTGGATCAAATAGCTTCATGTTGATCATTTGACACATCTTAAATCAGACTTTGGAAATAATTTCCGGTTATTGGGCATCATAGGTCTGAAACCTGCCCTTTAGATGCATCCTGAATTTTCATAGGGAGCATAAGATTACTTCTAGTTTTTAATAATTTTCAGCATGTGCACTGATGGCATTGGTGGAAGTTGTTCCCCTTTACCTCCAATATTTTTCCCCATAATATCTCATGTTTGAGCTTATAGGTTTTTTTGATGCATTTGGTTGGACATCAACTGCTGAACACTGATCCATTTCATTGTATGGACCTGCAGAGAGGACATTCGCAGTCTGTTGAAAGAGAAATGGCTCCTCCCAGTGATGAAAGTGTTATTGATGATGTAATCAGACAGCGGGATCAATTCATGAGTTCCATGCAGTCTCGCTTAACAAAATTACAGGTGCAGTTGGCAGTGAAATGTCATCATATGCAGAATTATGTTCATTTCATAGTCTGATTTCTAGGATATTTGTATACTTTAGATGCAACTTATGAAAGATTTTCATTATTATGTTGCCACTCATGAATTTAGTGTAACCTTTTTAGATTTAGAATAATTGCAACCAATATGTGCGGAATATCTTGAGTTGCAATTAGTCAATACCAAGTCCACCCTGCTGATAAATATGTGATTTTTGTTTGGTTGAAAATGTTCCCCAAACTTTGTTTGAGTAACCTGGAAATGCCACTTATGGATTCAGTGCAATTTAGATTTAGAATAATTTTGTCCAACATGTGCAGGATATCTTCAGTTGCAAACTTGCATTAGTCATATCAAGTCTAGTCTGATATAAATATGTGTTTTTTGTTTGGTTGAAAATGTTCCCCAAACAATGTTTGAAGGCCAGGAACTGCATTTGAATGATCATCATGAAGAATGGATGTTGTTGATCACTACATTACAGCTGCTGTTATGGTTTAGACGTTCTTCCTTTCTAAAACCTTATTTTTCTTTGACATTCACATTTAAGCAGTTAAACCAATTAACAAGGGTCCACTTAGGTATGAAATAACTCCAAGATTGTTTATGGATCTTATAATCCATGTCAATGTTCATGTACAAGCCATAAAAGGGAATCTCAACTGTTCTAAGGTATTCACCTAATATATAACCCCTTGGATGTTCTTTGGCCTCTAAGTGTTTCTAATTTTGCCACTTAAGCTGATAATGGGTAGCTGGAGGTATATCACTATGGCCTTTTGAGGCACCAAAGGTGAATGGGCAACTTCCTTCTTATTATCCTTTTCCAGACTAACCGGGAAATGATATTACAAATGAATTAGATGATGCCCAGAAATATAGTGCATTGTAAGTATATAGTTGCTATGATATCCATGCATTTGTCATGATGAATACCTCATTTCTGTATAGTATGTGGTATATGCAGGCACCACATATAAACTCTATCTAGAGACATCTCTGTGCCCTTGCTGTGTCTGTACATAATTTATACATGTATAGGTTCTGAATATGTTATTTCAGTTCCATTTTCTTTTTGACAAAGTTGCATAGGAATGGAACGTGAGACGTAGTGCTATAAAAACCCAGCTGCTACCGCCTTGACCGAAGCCCGATTCCTTCCAATTCAATTTGTTAACTGTGGCCAAACTGCAATATCACTTCTAATGTAGAGATGCTGTGGAAGTTTTCAGGTAGTTCGCAGGTTCTGGGAAAGGAATGATGTCAAAGGTGCTATCAACGCAATGCAAAAAATGTCTGATCATTCTGTAAGTATTGTCTTGAAGTCTTGGCTGCTGTTGTTTTCTTCACTTCTGCAAAATCAATCCCACTGCCACAATTAGTTTGATTCTCACTTCATCTGCCTTCGGAGTTGCAGGTATTTGCTGATGTAATCAGCATTCTGATGGAAAAGAGTGATAGTATTACTCTAGAAATTTGTACTTGCCTCCTACCGCTCCTCTCAAGCTTGCTTGATAGCAAAATGGACAGGTATCTTTTCTGTCGGTACAAGTCATTGTGCTTTTGAGGAAAATATTTAACATGTAATAGAAATGATGCTATTATAAACAAACCTGAGCACTCAGCCATGATGGTCTTTGTCCATTGATTTAAAATGGAATAATTGTAAAGAAATTAAAAAAAGGTTCTGTGCCTTGTCTCTTAAGTAACCCACATTACAGATGAGCAATAACTGCTTCTATGTAAAATCTGAATCCAAAAATTAGGCACAAAAAATGAAGAATGGTAGATGGACCTTGTCTAAATCGCCTGAAGATAATGAATTGAACTATTACTGAGACTGCTATGCAGTTTTGTTGTACATGCATAGTTCACGTTTTAGTGGTTCATATAAAGATTTAGACAAAGATCTGTACCACCATTAGACATTTGGCCTGGGGTCTACCTAATATCATTGAGTTAAAGTGGAATCTCATGGATAGGGAGATACATGAAAAATAGCGTGAACCTCTCAGGCCTCATTGTGTGCTGTTGTTCCTTGACGCCAAGGGAATATGGGCGAAGGAGATGTCATTGGCTTTTGCCATCACCCAGAGGTTGTGGCCTGTGATCAAATCTCATGGTCCCGGCTTTTGGCATAAATAATAGTTTGGCTAGCAATGTATGATCCATGATGTCGTCTTACCAATAAATTTAAATACAGGCATATAGGCATTTCCCTAGAGGCATTATTGAAGCTTGTGAGAGTTTTTGGTCCTGTGATCCACTCGACATTGTCGGCCTCTTCATCTGTCGGTGTGGATCTTCAAGCGGAACAGAGGTATAGTTTGTTGCCCCTTCCACTCCATTTTATAGCTTTATGCCTGCTATATATGCCAAACATACTTATATTTCCCATTTAAATTTTATGGTTCCAGGTTGGAACGGTGCAATTTGTGTTTTATTGAGTTGGAGAAGGTTAAGCATGCTATTCCATCCCTTGCCAAGTAAGTGTTAGTATTGGGTGGGCTAAATTATGTAATTGGTGAAATTTGGAACTCATGAATTTGGAATGGTTCTCATTGTCATTTGTTATCCTTTGATCAGGAAAGGAGGGTCAGTTGCCAAATTTGCACAGGAGTTGAATCTGACTCTTCAGGATGTATTGTGACGATATTAAGGTGTAGAATCTTAGTTTTGGACTGCGAAACAGATGCACAACAGCAGAAGGCAGCATGAGGAGATTTACATCAATGCAAGAAACAGTATGACCAACAAAGTGTGGGAAACACTTGGCACTTGGGCGGCGAGAACCATTTTCCTGGTAACTCTTGATATAACTACCTTTTTTGCTCCCTGTAAAATGAAAATTTTTTGGTTGCAGTTTGGTGCTTATGTTGAGTATTATAGCCCTTTGCAGCCTTCAATCTTTTTCCACTTCTCTTTACTAACCCTGTACATGTTGGAGTTGAATATGTAACCATCCCAGCTGACTACCAAGGGGAATTACGATAATTATTGTCCAAAAATTTATTGTCACGTGGAAACCTCATATAGATGTCATGGTCTTGTGCTTTCAGCAAGTTAATTTGTAATGGCTGGTTGCCAAGCCCTGTATGTTTCTGATGAGCAATTGCAGTGGCAGCTGTGTTACTCCTGCAGGATTTGATTATGTTCATTTGCCAGAGACAAATATTATTACCTCGCACTAGCCTGTTTTTTTGGCAGTGTAGAAGTGCCTTTGTGGTGAACTTGTCGCCTCCTAAGCTTGATTGCAATTCTTGGCCTTTCTTGGGGCACTCTGGAAAAGTTCATGACATGGGTATTTTGCGGTCTTTGATGTAGTCATGTTGGGTAGGTTGGTCTTAATTTGTGTATATATCATTGTAATTTCCTTTAGCAGGAAAACAACCAGATATTTTGAGCGATTAGCTTCTATTGTACTGCATTAAGAGATCAACTTGGGGCTTTTGTCATTTAATGTAGGTGCCTTTGTTCATTAGATGATCAGTTACTAAATTAATGCCACCTTCTTCATATGAAAATTTGATGATGCCCATTGAAATGCCAACGTTGTCATATATGAAAATATGTTTAAGACTAATTTAGACACTGTAAATGACTGCGTGGGGTCAGGAGACCACCAGATAGGCTCAGTGCACCCTGCAATAACTCTAAAGCTGAGAACATCTATGAGAAATGAAGTTGGGGTTCATGAGAGAGAAGAAAAAGGCCAATACGAAAGAAACAAGTAGTTTTATGTTTTACTTAGGTGCGGGGCAGGTATGGGATGGAGTTTTGGGCTAGATTGGGCTGGATATGAGTTGTTTTCACCCCTTGGGATGATTCACATTGTTGGCCTAGGGGGTCATGTCATTTCCCCTTTTGTTTTTTTTTTAAAAAAAAAAATTCTATGCATGTCATTTTATCAATGCAAGAGAGATGGTAATAAAGTGGAGAAATGAAAAAAATTTCCCTATCCCATCTCCATCGCAGGGACAATGCCGTTTCCTTTCGTTCTTATTGGCTTTAGTAGCATAAAAGGTGACTAGGTCAATCTCTTTTCTTAACTGTACAAGTGAACTTTCAGCCGCCAAGCATCTTGAAAAGAGAATGTACATTATGAGACCATTTGCTTAGGTACCAGAGGATTATACCAACATACTATGAGACCACTTGCCTTCGGTAAAAGAAGATTACAATCATCCTTCACTTTCATAGAGTTTAGAAAATTTTCTTTTGCATTTAGATTTTAGGTTATGGGATAATCACGGCCATCTAATTTCGCATTTAATGATTTGTGACCGCCTGATACCAAAAGAAATATACGGTTTTATCTTATATTTTTTCATTTGAAAATACCATGTTCCTCTTGCCGAGTGGCATTTGTTTGTAAGTATACTAAGATCTGCATTTTGCCAACCATAGTTGGCAAAAGTCTCTGATATTAAGTTTCACATCTTTTTGTACAAGGAAAAAATTGAGAAATAAAACTAAAAAAACGAAAATTTCAATAAGTAAACGTCACAATGTAAAACAGAAAAAACACCAAAGTGCACCTTTGAAGTCATTTAAATATCTATATTTAGAGAGTGAAAATAAAGATACACAAAGAGAAATTTTTTTTTTAGAGAGTGAAAATAAAGGTACACAAAGAGAAAATTTTTTTTTCAAAGGGAACGAAGAGACATCAGTAGAACAAAGTAAATATACATGAGCTTGTCAAAATAAATAAATAAATATAAATGATGCGAGAGAAAGTAGACGATGATAAAATAGAGGTATATAGAACCTTATACTTTAAGATTGAAAATTTGAAGGAGCCAGCATTTCTCCAGCTGCCAAGCATGAGTGCCTTGGGTTAGCATTACTAAATTTCGTCGCACATATGCTTACTTCCTTAAATCGCGTGCATCGCTCCCCGTGTTGTCCATCATTTATTGTATTGTATACTACAAATGGCAACTAAGAAACTGCCTGTTGGTGCGTGCCTAAAATTAAAAACAATTAAAACTTTATATAAAGGTCCTTATACTGTACGGGTAAGGTAACTTCAAAAACCCACTAGTGAATTAAAAACAATTAAAACTTTATATAAGGTCTTTATACTGTACGGGTAAGGTGACCTCAAAAACCCACTAGTAAAAGTGTTTTTTTTGTTGGAAAACCCTCAAATCAATCATCTCCGCTTCAAGATTTACGGGCATGAAAAAAAGAAGATCTTTAGTACTAAAATTATTCATCTTCTAATACATTATCCGGAAGCGTTCATAGATTAACTTCATCATCACTATTTCTAAAATTTTAAATTTTACAATCGAAGGCAAGAATAGATTTTTATATGCTTTGTGACAGGGTCGAATACACCTCACCACGCCTACTCGGTATAGTTTTAGATGAAAGGGAAAGTAATTGTCAGGGTCGGAGTGGGTATGTTGAAAAAGTGCCACCTGTGCGATTGCCCCTGATTGCGGGAATCATCTGACTTTTTTTAATTTTATTTTTGGTCCCATTTTTCTTGCAGTGTCGTTTTTGTGTCTTATCCTCGGACTCCCAAAGGAGGCATCATAAATCTGAGACACAACGTTCCTTTCCTCTCGCTCTCCGTTTAAAAGTGGGAATAAGGAAAAGATTGAGAGAGAGAGAGAGGGAGATTTGGAAAAGATAGCAGTCAGTCGTGAGTGGGGGAAGGCGCCATTGCTCCCACCTCAAACCCCAAAACCCAATCACTCAGATCCTTGAATTTGCTTTTTCATTCCTCATTTCTACTCTCTCCCGCCATCCATCTCAGTGGGCATTTTTCCTCCATGCAATATGAGATCGTTTGTTTCCTCAGAATGCAACGGGAAAGCATTGTGATGTTGGGGATCACGGTCATGTACCTCCCCACCTTCATTGATGATAATAATTAGTTATAATTCTTTAATAAGGAATAATGAAAGGCGTCAGATCTTGGAGATCGCCCTCCCTATCCAAGAATCCCTTCCTTGATGCCGCTGTAAATCCATCCCTCTCTCTCTCCTGCAGGTTTTAGAATTAAGTGAATGAGAAAATTCCCTTTCCTTGACAATGGGTGTTTGCTAATACACAGGGGAGCAGGAGATTCAGCTCCAAGTCCTTTACATCATTTGGCTGCTTCATCCTCCTCTTTATGCTCTTTCTCATACTCATCACCATGAAACATCAATACGAGCATATCAAGGTATGTATCCCTGTCCTTGTTTCCTTTCCTCCTCTTATATGTTAATGTTTATTTGTAATTTTTTCATGTGTGAAATTTGTTTCTTCTTTCTAATGTTGTTTGCCAGATGGACAACACTTGGTATCCCTTTGCCTCAACCAAGGTAATTGTTCTTGTATACAATTCATCAGGAATGCTCTTGCACTCGCTTACCTTGTTTTGGCTATCACATCAAATAATGACGATGAGCTAACATCAAACAAAAAGCCGACTGACTGACTGCCTGCCTCCTCTCCATTCCCACCAAATTGATGTCAATTGGAATGGGGTGGGTCTCATCTCTTTTCATTTCAGCAGCGTCCTCAAATAATGATGACCCATTTTGACCATATTCACTCTTTGCCCCGTGGCATAGTGGAGTCAACATCTGATATGGAGCTGAAGCCCCTCTGGGAGACCTCAACCTTAACAGTAATGCCTGTTTTGTCAATTTACACTCATGCTTCCCTACAATTGTTTGTTTCCTGTGCTGCTCTTTTTTTTATATCCCTCCTTAAAATGTGGTTGATTGGCTGGTCTCACATTGTATTCCTTTTCTATGGATACATTGCGCATGTATATTCAAATTTTTCCTTATTTTCTCTGTGTCTAATTTCCTGAACTTTGATGTGAGCCATTTAGTTTATAGATTTCTGATTATTTAAAACTATGCATTTGCATATTGTGTTCGTCCTGATGACTCTATTGCCTGCTGGCTACATCATTCTTCTTACATTTATGGAAATAAGCTTCTTAAACTCTGGCTGCAGCATCAGTTGATCACTTTAGCTAGACAAAAGCCCATCATGCAATCGTACTTGAAGAAATTGTTTAATATTATGTGGATATAGATCTCCTGCAAGTTGATGGACAGTTCGTGAGAGCTTTTATTAGTGCCGTATGAAAGATGCAAAAAGGGGTTTTTGAATAGGTATTTGTAATTATGATAGCATCTTGAATGATGATCTCTATGTATCTTTTTTTTTTTCCAGGATAAAAATCAGAATCATAAGGCTCTTTTGGCAATCCCCGTTGGAATTAAGCAAAAGAAGAATGTGAATGCCATGGTCCAAAAGGTAGTGAACTCTCTCATAGTTCAGAAAAACTGTCGCCTTCTAGAGTACAAGTTGCTAAGGGTAGATTCTCGTTTATTCATCTAATACACTGTTGGTTCAGTTTCTTGCAGAAAATTTTTCAATTATATTGTTTCATTATGATGGCAATGTGGATGGGTGGCATGATCTTGGTTGGAGTGATAGGGCGATACACATACTTGCTCATAATCAAACAAAATGGTATTTGTTGTGGCTTTCACATTTGTACCAATCCATATTCATGTGTATGTGAAATAAGTACCTTTTTCAGTATTTTGTTATGCTTAAAAGAGTCTTCTTTGAAGATTACCGGTCTTACATGAATAGGTAGTCCTAGACACTGAAAGTATGGGCTTCTCTTAGAATGAGGTTTGGACTTGTGGCAGGTGGTTTGCAAAGCGCTTTTTGCATCCTGATGTTGTATCAATTTATGATTACATCTTTCTTTGGGATGAGGACTTGGGAGTTGAAAATTTTCATCCTGGAAGGTATGCATGCAAATTCTCTTGTGAATTATATTGTAGACTCCATGCTTCTATTGCCCACAATTCGCTCCTAGGGAATGAGTACACTGCGATATCTCCTTCCTTGTTTCTTCCCATACTACTGCTTTTCAAGCAGTTCCTTCTTTAATGTAGATGGTACCTGAAAATTCAAGTCCTTCTATTTTTTTAATTTTTTTATTACAACTGTACCTTAATGCATGTCAACCATCAAAAGAAAAGAAAGCAATGCCTTACTAAATTGAGTGCTTTTGTTCTCTCTAACTTCTAAAAATGTACCATGTGAAGGTACCTGCGCATAATGAAGGCAGAAGGATTGGAGATTTCACAACCAGCTCTAGACCCAAATCAATCAGAAATACATCATCGTATTACAATTCGAAACAAAACAGGGAAAGTCCATAGGTAAGTACAATGAAAACATTTCTCCATGTGCCGGGTTTTTTAATAAATTGCCACACAGTCGTTGGCATTTGCTAACACTACCATTTGGATGTAAGTCAGGCGGATGTATGCTTCTCGAGGTAGTTTGAATTGTTCAGATGCTAGCATGGGGCCTCCATGCACTGGGTAAGTTCTTCCTAGGATGTTATCTGGACGCTATGTTCTGGATGTTTCTTAGCTTTCCATGCATATTTTCAGTTACAAATTGATCAAAGCTTGAGATAGCCAACAGTCATATGTGAAATATTATTCTGAGTGAAATGCATACGCATATTATTTTGAGTGAAATTAGTTTTCGACGCTTCTATTCTCTTTATTTTCCAAGTTTGGAATGGTATATACCCATTGAAGTTTGAAATCATACCCTAAGGTTTCTTGAATTCTTTTTGGCCTACGATTAAAACCTACTGTCATAAGAAAGCTTTTGATCTGCTTGGCTCAAGTGATAGAGTTGATACCAGGCTGAATCATGAAGTGATGACAGAATCGTTGCCTGACTTGCTCTGAGTGAATACCTTTTGAAATAAAAACAAAAACAAGCTTACTATGATTTGCTTACATGAGATGCTAGGGTGCATGATTGTTTGAATGGTAATGTAAAGACACCTACGACACTTTAAAAGAGTATGTTTATAGTTTACTACATAAGAAACATATCTATGCAACAGGGCAGTGATTGCTCAAGGGTGACAATGTCATGATAATTATACTTTTTGAACAGGTGCTTGTGTCTCCTCATGTATATTCAGGTGTTTCTGGATTCTCCCCTTCAAGCAGGTTGAACTCACAATAACACTCTGTTATACATGCAGTTTTAGACTACATGTGATGAACTAAGCAATATTTCCCTCTTGTTTGTAAATTGCTAGGATGAGTTTACCCATTACATCTTAATTTTTTTTATGGTTTGAAAAACTAAGAAAAGCTAATGGTATCACCTAGACAGAAAATAACTGCGTTTTGTAATAATCTGAGTTTTGGCTGTTGTTTCCCATTTGTTGTCCATATTACAGATTCACTATTTTGTTTCTCACATGATAGTATTTAACTGTGTTTCAGATCTCTTTTTTGTTTCATCCTTTTCCTAGTTTTGTTGTCAATTTTGTCTATTTCGAAATGCTATGTTGCAGGATTGTTCTGTGATGGTTTCTTGTTGCGATTTTTAAGTGTATTGAGTATTCGGAACATGTCATAATTTATCCTCTCATCAAGCTAATCATTAAGACTTGAGGGTTGTTTGTGATGATCTTTTAATGTTCTTCAGATGGGTTGAAGGGATGGCACCTGTATTTTCAAGAGCTTCCTGGCATTGCACATGGCATCTCATTCAGGTGTGCTTTCGTCTTGTTGGGGCTTTGCTGAATCTCCTTGAGACTGCATCATTCTTCATCTTTTCACTCTGTTGTTTGTGGATTGGTGCCGATCAGTCTTTAAACTATTCACCAGCATTTATTCTGTTTTTTCTTTCTGAGAAAAACAATCTTAGTTTTTTTCTTTGTTAATTCTAGTATGCCAGAAAGCAAACCTGATGCTGGGCAGTGGAATCCTCCCAGCCTATGCGAGGTAGCCTTCCTGGACCAAGTTAGCTCCAAGCGGTTGTCTGAACCATCTAGGCCCTGGATAGACCTGAGGGCAGAAATAGCCCTGGTCACTGTAATTTTTGGTCTTTTCTCCCCTTTTAAGGTGGAACAAGGGGTAGGGAGGGTATTCATTACCCTTCATGTTGTCTCTTATCCTTTTTCTTGGGCACAAAACCTCAGATTGAAGGTTCGATTTGGCTTCTTTTTTCCTTTTTAATTTTTTGGGAAAGAAAAATCTAGGCAAAAGTGAATTGGTATTCGATTGTATGTCATGGGAGCTTAGAAGAGGTGTCCTCGGATATGTAAGGGGTTTGCAAATGTTCGGAATCTGATCACACAAAGAGTACTTCTGATGCAAACCTAGTAGCTTGGAGCTAGGGTTTAGCAAAGAAGAAGATACAGAAGATCGAAAATTAGAGAAAGATGCAAAAACCAGAGATAAAAGAATGAGCACTAGCTGCTCTAGAGTTTTGAATAAAGTCCATAACGAGATCCTATACTTGAGTACATCTCTTATATAAGAAAACCCTAAATAAGGCTTAATCCTGGTTATCCGACTAATCTAATCATAGCCATTTATTATAAAAGACTTGAAGTGAATAAAAAGGCAAAAGACTCAAAAAATTACTATTTATGCCCCTAATTAAATAAAATGACTCAATAAATAAATAAGACATAAAAAGACAAACTAAATGACTATTGTGCCCTTTTGCGGCTCCTCTTGTGAACTTTAAGCTTGTCTCTCTTATCTGATACTCGAGAGCAGTATTCTGGGTTGCATCAATTCCCCCCATCTTCAAGAATTCGCCCTCGAGTTCAGTGGCTTGTTGTCAAAGGTATCACCACGATATGGAATAAGATGATTGACATTAAAAATATTGGAAGTGCGAATATGGCTAGGAAGCTTCAATTTGTAGGCATTGTCATTAGTCTTCTACAACACTTCACACCATCCAATCTTGCGCTGGCTCAACTTATGATATTCAGAACAACTTGGTTTAGAACCATGAACAAGCATAGGAGGGAAGGTTCTTGAATCACTTCTAATTATAGATCCTCGAAGATATCCATTCAAAATAACTTTGTAGGAAATCTCACCTCTATGACTTGTAAGATTGAGCATTGCATTTCCTCCTCTGCATGGAGGCATGATTGTTGATCTAGGGCAGAAAAATCGACGCTGCAGTACCTTTCGTACAGTGCTACAATGCCATTTGTAGATTGCTACAATACTATGCCATAGTATTGTACAATGCCACAATACCGTCTGTAAATTGTTGCAATACTGTGCTACAGTACCATATAGAATCTTGGGCTCAGATACCAACCTGGCATAGACCTAGTAGCTTGGAGCTAGGGTTTAACAAAAATGAACATATGGAAGATCTAAAATTAGAACAAGATGAAAAACCAGAGATAAAAGCATGAGCACTGGCTGCTCTAGGGTTTTAAATAAAGTCCAGAACAAGATCCATCATTATGCTTTAGTACATCTCTTATATAAGAAAACCCTAAACAAGACTTAATCCTGGTTATCCAATTAGTTTAATCATGGCTATTTATAATAAAAGATTTTAAGTGACTAAAAAGACATAAAATACTCTAGAAATTACTATTTATGTGCCTAAGAGAATAAAATGACTCAATGACTATTGTGCCCTTTTGTGGTTCCTCTTGTAAACTTAAGGGTGTCTCTCTTATCTAGATACTCGAGAGCAATGTTCTAGGCTGCATCAACTTCCCTCCCAAATCCCACTTGATTTCACAGTGTCTTCTGATGCTTCAATTGAACAAGGTTATTTAGGTTACCAAATCAGCATATGTACATAATGTATGCACGCAAAAGTTAATAGTAATGGTCTATTTAAAAAAAATTATAAAACATATGTATGTATTTTTAAATTTTAAACTTTGTATTCTTGGGTGCCTTGAGCTCTAGCTGCATTGAACACCTTAGCACCAGGACTTCTTGCTGCCTAGGTACCTCCTAGCACTTTCTAGCACAACAGTGATATACTGATGTGTGAAAGTCTCATCCTCAGTGCTTAAGGAGTATTCCCTTGTAACATCTTTGCAGCGAGATGCATTTCATGTTGGTTTCTAGCTTCGTAGCAAATAACGGCTGTTTAATTTTATTATAGTGGGTATTTATAGCAATAATATGTATTACTATTAAATACTCAGGTTTAGTCTTGGAACTTCAAAATTATCATGGTTTTCTATGGTCCCTGTTACCATATTAGAAATCATGGTGATTATATCAGAAATGTTTAAGGAAAGGATTTGACCTCTGTTTATTAATTGCATATATATATAAAAGTAGAATTTTCCTTCCATAGCCTATTTCGTTGGACAATCAAGTTCTCAAATTTATGGCTTTAAAATAAAGACTATTGTTATTAGGACCGGATCAGATCGGCTGGTCCAACTTGTGCTATGGCCAGTCTAGTCCAAAGCAAAACTTGGGTTTGGTAAAACACCGATAAAAAACTAATGTTCAACCCTTTTTTTTTTTCCAAAAACGTTATGCTTAACTGTTTTTAGCCTGTCAAATCAGCCCATTTCAGCTGGTTGTACTTTAAAGAAGGTTGGGCAACTTCTTTTGCAATATATTTCATATACTTACTCTTCCTATTTTTTCTTTATTTTTTAAAACCCGCCGGTTGGATCAATTTTCATTGGACTAAACCCTGGCTGATCCATTTCTAATAACGTTGATGTAGACAATATAATTTATCATATTTATCCTCTTCACATTTATTAACATGTTTATGTTTTCACCTTTGTATTTTGTTGGGATAACTATCGATTTTACATAATTGAAAATTCATGTGTTGACAGTCTTAAATAAGATGTTTATTTTATAGAAGTTAATTATTTGAAGTCCTAAATTCCTGATAAATTCCCTTTAAAAGAAAACTAATCAATAATATTACAATAAATTTCCCCACTGATAATGTCCTGGTAACAATGTTTGTTACTAAGTTTTCTAGCCCATATCTCAACTGGATGCAATTAATGTTGTTTCCTTTGATTTCTAGGTTCAAACCCAGCTTATAATAGTTAACACCGCACCCCCCCCCCCCCAAAAAAATAAAAAATAAAAAAAAATCTTATGTACAAAAAAGAAAGATTCAATTCATGTTTGTCCTTTCTTAAGCCTAAAGAGATATGTTGGAACATGTAATGGAAGTTTACCAACTGCCATTTAGTGAAGAGTTGTCTAGCTCATGCTGTAAATCAGTGTCACTGTGTTTTTTGATTTTGCATTATTAGCTCTCAGTTTCTGCAAGTATTCTGCTTATGAATCTCTGTTCTCTGGCCGATATACAGGTTTTATTATGCAATGAAGGTATTTAACATGAAAAATTTGATCCTCATTGAGTACCCACTTATTTGTGTCTTAATTGTAGAGCCTAATTCACTTCTCTGTGTTCTTTGGACTTTGATGGGCTCATTGCCCATTGAAGAGTTGTCTTCAATGGATTAAAATATGGTTGTGTTACTTTGGACTTGATTTGCGTTCATAGATTAAAATATAGTTGTCTTACTATGTGCTCCTTTCTTTTTGCACAGAATGATCTCATTCATGGCTGGGGTCTCGATATGAAACTCGGATATTGTTCTCAGGTCAGATAATCCTTAATATAAGCCCTCATTTGATGAGCTTGAAATTTTCACAAGGTGGTGTCAGCTTATGCACCATTTGTCCTGGATTTATCTTTTTCCATCTACCTCTACACCATTTGTACTGAATTTACTTTTTTCCATCTACCTCTCCATGGGGGAACATCCAAAAAACTGGATGCAGCATGAAGGATTCGGCTTGTTTGAAAAACAGTGTGGGAGGGAGAACAGATTTGAAATTCTTACCTTACATCACCTTGTGGCCTCTATTGTGTAATTATGCGGATGTTTTGCGTCTTTAGAATACAATTATCAAAAGACAAGAAAATTAGAACCTTCTTTTCTAAGAAGTTATTCTCTAGTATAGTCTCTCTAATACAAAATGTGAGATCTAATACCATCATCGCCTTTTCCCTACTATTTGGGGTTGGCTACAAGAATCTTGGTCCGCCACTCTGCCCTATCAAGGGCGATACCCTCAATGAGGCCTTAAGTCCCTATATCTTTTCTTACTACTTCTAACCATATCCATTTGGGCCTACCTTTTACCCTTTTTGAGCATTCCACTCGAATCAACCTGCACCTCTTAATAGTTGCCATACTAGGTTTGCACTGCAAATGACCTGGCCCACCTAAGTCTACTTTCTCTCATCTTCACCCCTTAGTTCTCCCGAATATATTTCTAGTACAATGCATCGCTTATGGGGAACGCCCTAGCATAAGCAGATAACATAGATTCTGGATTCATGGAAAGTTTTACGTTGGCTGTCTACTTAGCACAACCCACCTCCTTTACTTGGACTTGGGACGGGTTGAGGGAAAGTTTAGTGTCCATACCCTGCTTAGACCAAAGTAAGTAAGTAGTAAATAAACAAATGATTACTATATTCCACTTTTTAGTTGTCAAAATGTGTTATGGAAAGATGCCTTAGGAATTTGTTCATTTCCATATAACTCCATTGCTATATGAAATCTATCAAAGATCGCTATCTTGTCATTTCATGCTTAGAATTAAATAAACTCAATGATCTTTCGTTTAAAATTAATTTTGTTGCGTCTAATTTTGTTTGTATATAATTAAAATGGTCTTTCATGCAGATAGATGCCTATAATGGAGCATCTGTAGCTCTATATGTTTAACGAATTGAGTTATTTAAGGAATTGAGTTAGTATTTATCTTCGGTTCCAAACCTTCTTAATCTGTTTTATTCTTGAGACACTCATCTCTACATGCATTTTATGTCTAGAAATTGTTTCACTTCAAGTTTAATGGTGGAAAATCATAATAAATTTTGATTATGGGAACTATATTTTTCTCAAATGGAGATGTCTAAAGTAATGTATGTTGTGTGACTTATTTAGAGTGTACATGCATGTGCCGATATTTTGTTAGTTTCTGCATTTCAGGGGGATCGAACAAAGAATGTTGGTGTGATTGACAGTGAATTTATCATTCATCTGGGAATACCATCCTTGGGAGGATCATCTGCAAATAAGGTTTGAAGATATATACCCAAAAAATAGTATCATTTTGTTGATGTGTGGCCACTGAATGCTTATCGTATGTTAAATGATCTATAGACATTTTTATTATTAACTGCATGTTAGATGATAACTATATCAATAAGGGGTGTGTTATGTATTTTTTGACTCTTTTATTCTATCTGATCACAAGGATAATCTAGTCCACTGTGAGTTCGCAAGGGTACTTCTGTCATTTATTATTTGATTTATATGAAGTTGATTGTATGCGCTACAAGCTTTGGATTCTTGTCCTAATGCAAGCTGGGTGACACTCTGTTTGACCACAGGTCACAATATGAGAGTGATGAAATTTTGTTAGTTATGAAGCTTCTGTGGTCCTTTGGTCGTGGATGATGTGCATGTATATGAAGCTTGACTTCTTTCTGATACTGAGGATTATTTTTTATTTTATTTCCATGTGTCTGATTTATTTGTCTTGGCATGCTTATGAAGGCGAGTAGATCTTTGGCCATCTAATGTTTATGTGGTATTCAAACACTGCTAATCAGCTTTCTTCTGCATTCTAAAAATCATTTTCTGTTGGGAGTGAATCTGGCATCTATCTTATTTGCTCACTCATGTAGTTGTAATTGGAGCTTTTAAAGTTAAAACTTTGCCAGAGATAAGTCCAGGTCAAAATCAAGTCCACTAGTAACTCTATAAATCGTTTCTTTCTCTAGTAAGATCAAAAGAATGTTAATCTATCAGTCACCAGACCTTTTTTTTGGGCACTTCAGCTGTAGGATTCAAACTTGGGTATTAAATATAAGATATCTTTGCTTTTCAATTGTGGATAAAATTTCATTGCTGTGTTACGTGTACATGCATAATGTGTTTACAAAATTTTACAAGCGATGAGATTTACAAAATTGGAGTTGGGAAACCCATAGCTTCCAGTGGTCAAGCGGATGGGGAAAGCAGAAGTGAGGATCGAAGGAGTCCTTCCCTTCCAAGTTAATCTGCAAACTCACTGAGCTCCCTCCACATGTATTAAAACGTTTGCCAAATGCAATAGGAACAGAGATACCTTGTTGGCCATGAGATGACATTAGCTGTGTGGTCTTCCACTGTCATGCCTCCTCTGTCGATGAGCATATTTGAATTCTAGTGAGTGGTGCCATGGCTCACACTTTGCTTGCATTACATTCCAGCTGGTCCTGAAAAAGACAAAATAACAACACCTCTTTGTTTCTGCACTCTTCTATCCTTGTTGTGCTTGGGTGTCCTTTTGAACTTCTATCGAACTTCATTTTCACCACACCTACAATAGGAGGGTTCCACCTTTGTGGTCTTGGCTCGTTTGGCTCTACGCTCTAGGCTATGGATTGTGAATGCATGCCAATATCTGAGGCTGAGACACTGTGCAATTTGTATCACTAGAGCCTTGATACTGTCCAAATGGAAGATATTAGTTCTGTCCTCTCTTGTTATGCTTAAACGAAATTGACCAGAAAAAATATCTTATAATGGACAGGTGTCAAAGGATCAAACCCTTAGTTGGAAACGTTTTTTAAGCATTTGCTATTCTTTTATTTTCTTTTATAGTGTTGTCTGTATGCTAAAGTTGTTAAACTTGCAATAGAATTAAAGCTTAAATGGTTACAAGACTTTGCCTGTTCAGTGTGGTTGATCACTATAAGTCATGAGCATCTCTTTCCTTAAGTCTTCTTCTTTTGCCAGGTAATATTCCACCGTGTATGACTGTCTCTAAATATGACAGAAAAACCATCTGACTTGTTACTTCTCCCAAAGATATCATGAGAGATTGTGGATAAATCTCTAAAGGTTTTGAGCTTCTTTCTTAGCCCAACCTATAACATTTTTCGAATCTTCTTGCACCACCACTACAGTCCGTTCCAGAAATAGGAAGCGAATGCCAATTACAAGCACACAATTTTCTGCCCGACTTAAAAGTCCCTTTGGTCCCAGGTAATGTCCCCTAAGTGATTGCAAAGTCCCAACCTATTCCTGCTCGGCCAGGATCCCCCAACGAGAGTCTGTCAAAACTAAGTTTGATACAACCCTCCAGAGGTGGCGGCCAGTTAGATGGCCGGATGCCTCTTGGTCTGGACCTTCATGACATGTTGGTTATAGTTTGAACCGAGTTTGTTAGAGAAAAGAAGAGTGTTTGCTTACTTTGTTTTGGAAGCTTTCCAGGGATGGGACTCACTCGAAGAGCTTGGTCCACTTACTGATTTGGAGAGCATAACTCAAGATCGACTACCAAAAGCCATCCTAAGCAAGAGGAGATTTACTAGTATCAACGATCTCGAGTTAGGTGACTCAAGTTCGGGGATCTTCATACCTTCTTTTACAGGATATCCAAATATGGGAGGCGAGACAACACAATATCTCGCATCAAAATCGAAGACAGCTACTTAGAACAACGTTCTGAGGTGGAAGGAGCAATTATTGAATTCTTCAAGAACCTTTTCACAGCCCCTTCCAGCCCCAAACCCACTTTGGGGGACGTATCCTTCCTCTCCCTCCCTCACAAAACGGCAGTTTGGCTTGAACGACCATTCTTAGAGGAAGAGATTCTAAGGGCAATTCATGATCTTGGTCGAGACTGGGCCCAGGCCCCGAAGGCTTTCCCATTGCCTTCTCCAAGTCCTTTTGGCCTTCCTTGAAGCCAGATTTTATGGACTACTTTGCTGAATTCTATGAAAGAGGGGTGCTCCACAAGGCTCTCAATGCTACTTTCATTGCCTTGGTCCCAAATAGGGAGGGGGCTGAGGAACTTAAAGATTTCTGGCCCATTAGCCTCATCAACAGCATTCACAAGATCCTCGCCAAAGCGTTAGCCTCTCGCCTCAGAGAAGTGTTAGGGCTAGTCAACTCCTCCCATCAAGGGGCCTTTGTCAAGGGTCGTCAAATATTTGACGGTGGCTTAGTCGCTCATGAGTGCATCCACTCCAGGCATCTTTCCAAACTTTTGGGCTTGGTCATCAAGCTCAATTGGGAGAAGGCTTACAACCATGTAGATCAGTCAGTCCTTGATGAAACTCTTGCACATATGGGCTTTGGTCCACGATGGCACACTGGATGCACGGCTGTACCTCCAATCCCCACTTCTCCGTTCTCATCAACAGGTCCCCAAGGGCTACTTTCCCTCCGTCGGAGGTTTGCGCCAGGGAGACCACCTTTCACTTTTCCTATTTGCCAATATGGCAGAAGTATTTAGTTGTTGTATTCACCATCTTTTCCAAGCTGGTGGCTACATGGCTTTGCAATTAGATCTCAAGGACCTACCATCTCCCATTTGCAATACGCAGATGACACTGTTGTCTTCTCCGATTCCCAAGAAGTCGATACCCTTTTGAGTGGGCAACTGGATTCAGGGTGAATATGGACAAGACCATGATGATGGGATATCCCTTGACCATCACATCACTTAGAAGTTGACCGAGAGATGGGGCTATTTTGTTGGAAATATGGCCTTTCAAGGCCTAAATTCTTGTAGTCTCTCATTCAGTGGGAACAATTGAGAGATAGATATCTGGGCACCAAGCGAAATGGGCCTGAGATTCTAATACCCCGAGTGCATGAGGCATTGTGAGTTATCGTCTTGAGAAAGCAATTTTTCGAAGTGGTGTGAGGGTCACTTCCTAGTCAGGATTTCATATAGGTTATCCTCATGTTTGATTGCGATAAGCCAGGGCTTGGAGAAACCAAAAATAAAATATAGAACCCTAGTATTTATTGAGAACTGGCCCTGTATCATGACTTATGGGCCATAAGTCCGTATCCATACACAAGACCATTCCATGACATTTGCATTTTCATTTCACATGGGAAGCCATTCTTTCAAATGCGTTATTCGGGTTTGAAAGAGCCAATGTACATGTGCTTTGAGAGGACCCTTGTAATTGAGTTAGAACATGTCTCATAGGAGGGCACCTGTAATCCATTGAGCGCTGGATGGGAAGTTTTGGCTCAATGGATTTGATGTGAACCAATTATGTGTTCATGCTTTAGACTGTGGAGCATAGGTCCATTGGGTCGATCTGAGATTCGGCGGAACATCATTCGGGACTAGCACAATGGAGTACTCTGATACCTACAGTTATAGCTTGAGATCTCACCATACTCTTTGTCCAATTTAATTATGAGGAGAAATTATGAACAAATGGTCATAAATACTTCAAATATTTATTGTGAAGTTTGGAGAATTTTTCGAAATCTTTTAATTGCCAAAAATGTGCTTTTGTAAATTGTTTGTGGCTAATTCCATTTGAGGACTGCCCTAGAAGTGCCACATGGCATCCGAGTGGCCATAGGTGGCCACATGGCACCCCAGGCCCCACCATAAGATCACCGCCTAGCTGGGCGCTAATCCTTAGTTGGGGGGATGTGTATATGGGATTTGCCTTATTGTTTTGATTTAAGACCTTGTTATATTTTGTTATATGAGTTGTTATTATGTTATAACTTGAAGGTAGATTTTTGTCACGTCTATTTGATTCACACAAGTGTCTTAGTTGGCTTGTGTGAGGTCCAATTAAATTAATATGAATATTGAATTCAAAATTGATATTGTTTTTTTGAATTTGAAATTTAAAAATATCTTCACACATGTGTGAAGGGGACAAAATGATTTTTAGAAATACATAAGTATTTTATTTTTCTTTCTGAATATTTAAATACCTGAAAATTTAGTTTTAGCTATTTATCAAAAAAATAATAATAATTTAGTTTTAGCTAATTTAAAAGTTAATTTTGATAAGATGAAATATCCAGGGACTTCTAAAAATTCATATTAATATTTTAAGAATCATTTAACATAAAATTAAACATTTTAAATTTATTTGATGGGAATTGGATCCAACTTTGTTGAGGAAAATGCAAAAATACTGAGGCTCTCCATCTCTACTAGTAACTATGTCCTGTACTAACTTTATCAAATTGACCAAGTAGCTCCCATGACCCACAATCTGTTACAGGCGTTCATGATTGGACTTCCAAAAGCCAGCCACTAGGTGATGAGAATATAATCCTAGTATATGGATTACAAGTTCCCCTTTAAGGACAAGCCTAGGTCGTACTGACCTGGGCACACATATTGCAATTGCTGCATGGGGTTCATCTCTTGAATATTTACATGTCACACCCTAAATAGTGTCCGCTTCCTAATACGACTATCATATGTACATGTTCTGCAATGATCATGATGCAAATTTGGCCCTTGTCCCTTCAAGCCCACACACTCCCTTGGCTAACCACTTTAGGCATCTCTCCAACCTCATGAAGGGCTAACCCTAACCCCTCCACGGATGTTCCTCATGCACTGAGATAAAGGGTTTTAAATTCAACCCTGCCTAGCTTGTTAAGCCTTATTTGAGTTTTGGCATCAAAATTGCCATCTTTGGTTCCTCTGTACCAAAATCCTTCTGTCCCTCTGGACCATCCTCCCACTAGAGTTATCATATCAGTAGGGTCATAGTTTTACATACTCGTGTAAGGCCTTTAAATGGCCACGTAACGCCAACACTATAACCTTGTCAAAAAAGGGAAAAATTATAATTAGAGATGAAAATGGATTTTCGGGCCATTCTAAGAATTTTTTACTCCAAAATTTCATCTTATGACAAAGTTTGGGGGCACATCTTACTTTGATTAAGGTTGCAACCTTATGCAAACTACACCATTAAAAAATACCTATGCCTTCCAAAAGAAAAGAAAAAATCTTTGCTTAAATGATGTAAATGTGTTGCTAGTTCTTATCGGTTTGTGTACGTTCTTGGACTTTTTGCTTCTTGTGGCGTTTTTTTTTCGTCAAGCTTGAATATATATTTAGATGTCTTTGATTGGTTTTCATATCCGAGTTGCAATACTTGATTTACGAAGCCCATAGAATTATTCCTTCTGTACAGCATGTTTTTTTCCTTGTCTTACGTCTCCCATTTTTAATGTTTACAGCAACTTTCGAGTGAGAGTAATGAGGCTGCTGGCCCTGCTGACCAGTCTATGGTCACAAAGGTGATTCTTTTAAAACGATCTCATTCTTGCTAATTTTTCCCTTGAGCATTCAACTGCTGCTAAATGCCAATATAAAGTGTGAATTTTACAATTCACACAATTGTTAAAAAAATGGATTGGTGACCTGGATCGGGTCAATCCCAAAAACCAGTCCAGATTGGTGGTCTAGATTGGTTGGATTGGTGGAATCGGCCCTATCTGACCATCGAGAAAAATTCAAAGAAATATTGGAAACTGTTATAGACATTGTTTTTTGGGTTTCCAAAAGCAATTGGGGGCAGTGCATTATAGAATTTCATTATTTTACGAAATATGTGAATATTGAAACACCATTTCCTCTCCTGCCTGCCTGAGTGTCTATTGACTTCTATAAAAAAAAAAATACTATAGGACCGTAGCTAGTTGAAATGGGCTTGAACACAAATTTATGCGAAAATATGCTACCCATTTTGTAAATGATATTAGGTACGTAATAGACGTTCAACCCAATTCATGCTTAAAAAAAGATAAAACCAAGAGATAAATTTGTATAAAGATAATGACCTGCTTTTAGAATTTATCCAAAAGGGATAGCAACTCCATATTCAAAACCCTAAAATATGCTTTGCATTCCAAAAATATAGGAAAATACTCTCTAAAATATGCCCTCTCTCTATAAAAGGGAAGATGCTGGTTTGAGGACTGGTGGTTGTGGGAAGTCCAAACATGTGGCTTGTGGCACTCAATTCTAGAGAGGGGTGGGCCATCCTACCCCATTCCATTAAAAATTTATATAAAAAATTAAAATAAATAAAACTATAAAAGGGGAACCGGGCGATCTGCCCGGTGAATAAAAATTAGAGAAATGAGGAAATTTTTTTAAAAATAGTGAAAAATATATTGGGACCATTTCTTTGACAGGATCCGAACTGGCTAATTCTCGATATTTTATGGGATTCGGATCGGCCCGACCGATTCCCGATGCCGATCACCCATTTTTAAAACCTTGTGCATACATGTACCCGCATCATTTGAATTTTGATTTCTCCTCTTGTACAGGTACAGGGTGAAAGGGTCATAGATTTAAGATCTCAGGTGAATTTTTCTTAAACTCATTTGACAAGATGATACTCATGTTACAACAAATATGCGAGGACGTTGTCTACATGTGTCCTTTGACTTACTTCTCACTTGATGCTGCTGCAGATCAGAAGGCAGTCCACAGCAGAGCTTGAGATATTCCGCAAACGGTGGGATCGAGCTGTAAGGGATGATAAGGAATGGGCTGATCCATACAAACACAAGAAGGGGGCAAACACATAAATCTTGTCTTCTTCCACTTTCAATCATTTATTAATTGATTCTTTCAGTGAGAGGGGCCACACCAGATAGAACAAGGAAGCGAGGCGGGTCAATTGTTATGTATAGCCATCAGCAGCCAAGGCAATTCCACACCGCTCCTTGCCCAAGACACGTTATGTCTGATATTTTCTTGATCAAAATTTTGCAGGTGCTTGTGAGGCACTGCACATTGCATTGGGATTTTGCTCGGACTCTTTGAGAAATATAAGAACAAACCCTGCGGGTAGGTAGACATCTTGGGAGTTTCCTTGGGCTGTGTAAGATTTTTGTAACCAGGGCCTCGGGGTAAATCCTTGTGTCGTCGATGATGTAAAAGTAGCCTCCCATTTGTTACTAATGAGAGGTTTAAACGGGACTCTGATTTCTTTTTGTTTGTTTGTTTGTTTGTTTGAAAATATTAAAAGAAGCAATGCAACATACGTACTTTGAAAGTATCATATGGTTTTCATCCAATTCTACATCTACTTTGGCTATGAATACGGCCGTCCCTTACTTCAACCCAAGGGGTATCTTATAGGCGTCTGTATTTTTGCTTTGTGATTTTATGAAGCTGTCATCATAAACTTCTCTCTTTTGTAGAATGGGATGGTTTAAACTAATGGAAGCATTTGGTTTGTTGGTTAGCAAGGGATAGATGGCACAAACGGGCATATGATATCATCTAAAAAGAATCCATTACAAGGAAGTGTGGGATGCTTTAAGCCCTATGAGTATGTCAAGGGATCAATTATTTTGATGATCCAAGTAGCATTTTCCCTGTCTAATTCATCTTCTTAGATAAGATGTTATCAGCTGTTCTTTTTGCTGAAGAATGTAATGTTTTTAGCAAATTTAAGTATAGGGCAAGCTTTCTATGGTTCTCTTACAACATAAAATTTATATATTTCCTTTTATCCAGGCCTCCATTCTGAATGGAGGGGCTAAGATTGCCTCAATCACAAATCACGTCTCTATACTATTTTATTTTTTAATTTATTTTTTATAAACTATTTTGATACCAAATTTTGGATTTCCAATCTTCTATTAAACTCGTACTAGAGAAAAATGTAAAAAACATATTTTCAATAAAATAAAATGGCCAAAATACCCTTGAAAAATTCAAGGGGTATTTTGATCATTATATTTTATTGAAAATTTATTTTTTAAATTTTTTTTATAGGTGCGTCTCAATGAGTAGATGGTACCTATCAAATTTCATATTCATACAATTTATATAAAAAACAGTAAAAATAAAATACTTTGAGATGTCATATCTAAGATGAAACGGTGAGTGGTTCTTTTAATCAAATTTGGATGGTTGAATGGTAGGGGAAGCATAGATCTTCTATGTTGTAGGGAAAGTATAAGAGCAAACAAATTAGTTATTTCTGGCATGAGCGTCTGTGAAAAGATTCATTGTCATAAGAGATCGATTGAGTTAATTTAAGAAAAAAAACGAAAATATGAAGGAAAATAAAGAAATGATACAAGAAGAGCGAGAGAGAGACGCAACCACGAAAAAGAAAGGGAAAATGTCCAACAAAGGAGAAATGAATTTAGGGGGGAAGAAAAGAAAATGTGATGTGTGTGGAAAAGACATTTGGTGGGGCGGGGAAGCATTGGAGTCATGCCCTTTCCTTTATTGCAGCATGTGACATTTAGTTGGGTATGGTTTTTAATGAAGAACATGGGAAGTGGTTGCCCTATTCTTTTCAGCTACACAAGAAAGAGTGACCGTGGTCCGTCCATCGCTCACCATCACCTCTAAGAGATTACATTACATTACATTACATGGGAACCTATATCTATCTCTCTCCAATTCAAATTTATCAAGGATCCTCATCTCACTTTCAATTGGGTGCACATATGTGGTCCCACCCGCTCTAAATAAAACCACCAAGAAAGGAGAGTTAGATGGAGAGAGTTAATTGCAATTTCCAAGATAAGGAAAGAGGCCGGAAAGACCTTGTTATTTTGGGAGCGAGCTTTTTCCTTTGTGTTTTACTGGGTAAGGGACAAAAGGCACCAATCTTACCACTTTTCACAAAAGTATTCGTGAATTTTGAATGCTCCCATCTCTTCCATTCGGTCATAAATGGTGTTATTACATGCCACTTCCTTCTCATCTTACAAATTTTATCCACGGTCGGCTTTGCTTGGTCTAGAGCAACGTTTTAAAAAAGCTAGAACCAACCAGTAGGTCAGGAACTCCTCTGATTCTCCCAATATATTGGGTCTCGGTCCGTCCCATTTTTATTTCTTAACATTTTTAAATTTTTTAGTCCTCTATTTTTTTATTGGCCCGACTACCAATCCAATTCTATTTTCTGGTTGGGCCCCATATTTTTAAACCTTGGTCTAGAATCTAGATTTGGGGTGGGGTAGACGTCTTTTTCGTTCAATAAATAAAAGAGAAAATTTATATCGGAAAAGGTAGTTTTAATTTTTGAAAAACCATTTGATTGATCATCTGGGATATATGACCATGAAAAATAAAAAGATTTTAAAGTCTCGGAAATAGTGCATTTTACAACATATTATCTACACCATCTATTTTCAAGATTTTCATTTGTTTATAGATCTATTTGATTTAAATCATTTTTGAAATTCACAATTTTATAATTAGATATAAAAATAGATTTTGAGATAATCCTAAGAACAGTTTAAATCAAAATTATATATCATGATAAAATTTGAAGATGCACCTTACCTCTACAGCTACGGATGCATCCCTGTGCCAACCGCACCCATAAATAAATAATAAATCGATGGTTGATTGTGCGCGGGAGAAGAGGATGGGGTAAAAGGAAAGGAAAGAAAAGTCTGTCGGGATAGTTTAGCACCCAAAGCCAAACCACATAATGAGAGACAGAGAGAGATGAAGCTTGCAGTTTTTCTACTCTTCACACCACAGAGAGAGAGAGAGAGAGAGAGAGAGAGATGAGAAAAACTTGGAAGTATTCCACTCTCACAAGCAGTAAATATGAGAAAAGTGATGAATGGGGAGGTGGTGGTTCATTTCATGTCCATTTACTGGGCCTACGCATTAAAAACGGGCCAAAACAAATAGACAAATATGGTAGGAGAGGCCAGCGGCAGCTGGCTGGCCTCCTCTCAATGATGGGTATATATCAATGTCTTTCCATATATCAATCAATATAACAATGTAAACGTTTATATATATATATGGGGGGGTGTAATTGCAGAGAGTGTGTGGTGGCACCCCAATGCTCGGCTCCATGACTCTGACCATGTATGTAATTCAATTAACACCTTCCTTCAGAAGGGTGAAAACCCTCTCTCTCCATGAAAACTGCCCCTTGGGTCGTTGTTTCTTTCCTATTGCCCGTGGCCTAGATGGGCGGTGGTTGCATAGGACTTGAGAGATGGAGACTGATAAAGACGATCTGGATTCACTGTGGTAGTGCTATTGCCTTTGGTGGTCTTCTGCTGCAGTCTCCTTCTTGCTATGAACCCTCGGACCCATGGAGTCACATCCTCACTGATCTTTATCATAATGAAAAATATGATTCGGTATATGATGATCATGCTGAAGAGCACACTAAGATCGATCCACTTGGACCTATTCACATTTATCTGAAACACATACTCTAATATGTACTCCCCACTGATCTTTGGGAGATCAGGCGACTGATTGTCAAAGTACAGACCCCTCAGATCATTCTGATATTGGCCCTGTTAGGAATTGAAGTAACCGATTTCAACATCGAAACAACACCCCCAATTGATAAATAATATGGATTACCCAAGTGCAGAGACCTACCTGAAGTGCCCAGTAATGAAAACTGATATAAGACATGGGATATCTCCAGAATGGCTTTGGGATGTCATTTGGAAGCCTGAAGTAACCAGAGACCAGCATAAAAATTCCCTGATCCACATTTCAAACAACATTCCCATTAATCTCCTCATAGGACAACATCTAACTCATCACAATCTGTACAAGAAATCCAACTTCTATGTAACAAGATTATCAATAAATTCTGGCACAGAAAAAGGTCACTGCTAGTGTGCAAGATTAAAACCAGTTTGCTCTGTGATACCTGTATTCCGGCTCCAATAATGATACCCATAAGGAAATTGGGTATCACACTTGCTATAGCCATCATCAAGCTTTCAACCACTGTGACACTAGCATAAAGACACATAACAAAGAAGACGTAATGGATGAAACCAGGATGAAGCCGGACCATGAAGTAGCAAATGGTTCCGGATATGAAGGTGATCATGATCAGGAATGGCATTGCAGAGAGGGTGTTGCTTATGACAAATGCAACCACCCCATAGTGTCCGTTCAGCCTCTCTCTCTGAAACACCTGCAGCATTCCATTCCGATGCAATTTTAAGATGCATTTGTTAACTAATTCATGGAAAGACGAGTAGCATACACAGAAGCGTCAGGTCTCAAACCTTCATATCTTCAACAAAAGAAGGGAATCCCCCAATTGACATGAAGGTCACGAAGCCAAAAACAAAAGAAGCACATGCACCTCTGGCCTGTTGCAAACAAATTACGTAAAGTTATTACCATTGCCTACACTTTGGGAGTGGTGAAAGCAATGGACCCTTCAGTCGGTTTGAGCGATTAGAAAAAGAAAAGAAGCTCACCAGAATGGAAGTGTAACTGGTGCCCACATTCAAGTAGATGGTTCCTATGCATATAGTGACTACAATATAGATAACAAGTCTCAGCCAGTAATAACCAAAATCCCTCGACATATTTACGAATGATCGCTTTGTCAAAACGGCAGTTTGCCTTAGAAAACTAGCCTGGCTGCCTCCGGATTCCAACACAGTCCCTTTCTGCAAGTATAGTTCAAAACCCCAATTATTCTTTTCATCAAAAGAAGGCCGATGCAATGGAAGCAACCGTCCTAAAACATGTGTGGTGCAGTGCACTGCTACTTACGACTTTTGATATCTGTTCCACTCGCTGATTTGTTCCATAATACTGTTGCGAAGAATTGTAATGATCGAGCAAAACCCTGATGGCCTCGATTGTGGTTATTTTCTCTAGAGGATCATCTGACCTTTCCAACTGAAAGTAAGAGACGGTGATCAGCCAATGTTGCTGGATTCATCCGGCAAGAGTGATGAAAAAATAATGGGGATTGATGTAAGTAACATACCCTAAGTTTCATGGATCCCTTGAGAGTTGCCTTCACCTTATCAAAATCAGAGTTTATGCACCTCAGGAAGTGATCGGATGGGTTTCTCAGAGATGGGCAAGGGAACCCTGCTTGTGCAAAAAACTGAAAGCAAAAAACAACATTAAAGGGGAATTTGTCACTCACCCACAACAAAAACAATATGAGGGAGATAAGAGTAACTGGTTCACCTCACATGCTTCTGGGACTTGCCCAAAGTAAAGAGTCTTGCCTCCAGAGAGCAAGCAGAGACGATCAAAGAGCTCAAAGACCTCACTGCTGGGCTGGTGAATGGACGTCAACACCGTGCGTCCATCCCTCGCCAAGCTGCGCAGTGTCTGGGTGACGAAGAAGGCTGAGGCACTGCCATCAATCAAACAAAACCATTATAGATAATGCGTGTGTGAAAGAGAGAGAGAGAGAGAGAGAGAAGCCAATCCAAGGATCGTTGGAGCAGTAGCAGTTACAGTTACCTGTCGAGGCCGCTAGTGGGTTCATCAAGGAAGAGCAATCTAGGCCTCATGAGGATCTCAAGCGCTATGCTCACTCTCCTCTTCTCTCCTCCGCTGATCCCACGCAAATGCCAGTTCCCGATCACAGTGTTGGCGCAGTCCTGGAGACCCATCTCAATTATGGTGCTCTCCACGAGGGCCTGCTTATCCGACCAGGGCATCCTGTTCGGGAGTCGGAGGCGAGCTGAGTACATTATTGTCTCCCTCACCGTCAGTGTGCCTATAAGATTGTCATCCTGAGTTACATATGCCTACAAAAACAGCCGTGAGCGGTTTTAGTTTAGAGTATATTGTTGCAGGAACTCAACTGAGAAGCAGTGTGTGTAGTGGAGACGAGAGGATATGCACGATGATGATAGAGGTAGAGAAGGGAGACAGACAGCAGTGCCGAAGGAGAGGTTCCTCTTGCGGCCGTTGAGCAGGACAGTGCCGGACAGGAATGCGTTGGAAGCCAGGCGACCGGAGAGGGCATCGAGCAGGGTGGACTTGCCAGAGCCGGAAGGGCCCATGAGGGCCATGAGGCTGCCTGGCTCTGCATACCCCGTGAGGCCGTCCAGCACCTTGTGAGACCCTCCTCCTTTTGGAAGAGCCACTGTCACGGTGAGGTCCTTCCAAGTGAGCCTGGCAGAGATGTCCCCGGTAACATCCGCCTCTTTCCAGAGGCTCTCGCTGAGAGGGCTGAGACCAGGGGCAGGCCTGGTGGTGGTGGTGGTGGTGGTGGTGGTGGTGGAGGAGGAGGATTCGATCTCCATGACCACATGCTCTGGTGCTGGCCGGCTTGCCATTCGGAGAGAGAGTTGTGTTATGGTGGGTGGTGGTTTAGTAGTAGTTGTTGTTGCTGTTAGAGAAGCAGAGGAGGAAGAGCAACGTGATTCGCACTCTCACACTCACGCGCTTTTAGTGTGAAGTGGTGCTACTAACTGTCCAAGGAAGACCACCGCTAAACTAACTGACTAGACGCCGCCCCTCGCTGTATATTATACCCAACAACGGAACGTGTGCCCTCACCCTCCTTAATGAGAAGGGGTGGGTGTTGGTGGCCGCATTTATTCATCCATTTCATTTCGTCCTCATTACTGCCAGCAGCTTCAACTCGACCCTTTCCTTTGTGACTCACGGAACGACTCGAAGGACGGCATTACATTTCGATTACAATTAAATTGATTGAGAGATGGGGAACGACACCTTCTTTTATCCTCCAACTCGCCCCATGTCCCTCTAAACAATCCAATTACGCTCTAAAATATTCTTCATATTTTTTGAAAATCTATTTAATTATCAAATTTTAAAATCCAAATATGATTAAAATCTATAACTATATGAAAATCTTGAAAGTTGACGGTCTAGATAATGTGTTGCAACGTGCATTGTTTCTACACGGCTCATAATTTTTTTTTTTGTTCATATTCATACATCATGATGTCGAGGTGATCAATTAGATTAGATGATTTTTCAATATTGAAACATATGGCACTTATAATTCTGTATTTTAAGGTTGTAAACTTATATAAACTTTTTCCTTATTCTAATTTCAAAAAACAAAATTCTTCAATTCGGCTATAAGTAATTGTGTACAAAAGGGAAATAGTCTATATGTTACTCGTCCTCCTATTGTTGCTTTGGTACGGGAAGATTAACACGGATAGAAAACTAAAAGTAATTAGGGTCCGGGTCCCTAACTTTATATCTCCATTCCATTTTAAAACAAAGGAATGCAGTAATTGGGCCATCATTACACATTAGGAAAACGCACCGGGATAATTTGTAAGTCGAGTAGGGGGAGATATTTCAGACCTCCACATCGCTATTTACCACCCGTCTTTCCAATTAATAATAATATCAATCAATGAAGGTGTATTATTATTATAATTGTTATTAGGTGTCCGTTTGCGGTCCTAAACAATCAAAATAAGCTCACCATCAAATACTATTGGAAGATGTTATTTCCATACTCCAAATCTTGGTTACACCATCAAATACTATTGGAAGATGTTATTTCTTGGTTACACCATCAAATACTATTGGAAGATGTTATTTCCATACTCCAAATCTTGGTTACACCATCAAAATTCATTTTTACATCTAATTGTAAAATTTTAAATTTTAGATTTAATGCAGATTGAGTAGATTTTTGACCACTTGAAAATTGACGGTCCAAAAGTGCATTATAAGATGCACTATTTTCAATATTTGAAATCTATTTGTTCTAATTTTCATATTCAATTTAAAGATTTTTAGGCATCCAAACAGCCTCTTTTGGTCAATTTTTTAGGTGCGTCTTAATGGTTTAGAACCTCATCCATATATAAAATTTTTGTTTTTGTTAGTGGGTTAGAAAAGGTACTGCTCGATTTCATTAACCTTCCCATCTTGAGTTGTGGCCGGGTTTTGGGAAGCCAAAAGATTATGTGCTCCTGCGGGGGCATATAATTTATTCACGGGAAAACCTCGTCTGAAAGCATACTTTCAGTTATCTAAATATGTGGGATGCAACTTGAGCGAGCTGGGGACCAACCTCAAATTTTAGGAGAAACAATGTCCCATTATCCCAATTTTAGATCGTCCAATTTCAATGTTTCACATTCAACATCCATATTTCATTTTTTTAAATATTAAGATCCATATTTTACTTTTGAAATATTAATCAACTCGATTCCAAAATTTAAAGTGCAAAATTTTTTAATTTTAAAAAGGGTTATGTTACGATCCTCATACTATAGAGCATTTTATAATTGTAATAAACAAATTTTGAACAGTTATATACTCTTGTTTTGTACATGGATCTTTTTTTTTTTTTTTTAATGATGATATTTTTTAGGGATTGCCTACAAAGAGATAATTTATCTGTTGTATATGGAGCTCAAAATCATTTTTGTCCTTTAAATTTCAAAATGGGCGGTTGTAAGAATGTCATTGAACAGACACCAAATTCTCGGACTTCTTGACTCACCCCAAATTATCCAATTTGACATCGGATGAGTGAAAATAATTATGACTTCCATGTACAAAAGATAAATACTCTTTGTGTACAATCCCTATTTTTACTAATTAGAAACGATGTGATATCGTCTACATGGAGTATTACATTTCACACATAGAACACATTAGTGGCTTTTAATGCTCTATGGGAGTGATGTTACACCCTCTTAATGACCAACAATACCTATACTAAAAAGGGAAAAATATCTTCATACCTAATATTTTTAGGTTTCATTTCACAATAGACCCAAGGTTTTAAAAGATATCTTGAGGCATAAAAATTGTAGATTTTATTTCTTCTAACCCCTTGAGCTAATTTAAACTTGTTTTTTTAGACCAAACAAATCTAAAAAGACATGCATTTTCTAAAGGAAAAATATCCTATTATTTCCTATTTTTAACTTCTATATCTCATCAGACCCAAGAATTGAAAATATTACCTGTAAAAAAAAAAAAACTATATTTTCTATCTTCCATCCCACTAAACCCTTTTGACTATATATTATTGACCTTAACAACTTATTAAATGACTCTATTTCTCTCTATCTCTCTAAAACATCATCTCTCTCTCAAAACTCCATTTCTCTCTAAAACCCAAACTCTATCTCTCTATCATATCATCGTCTCTCTCTCTCTCTCTCTCTCAAAACTCCATCTCTCTCCCTAAAACTCAAACTCCATCTCTTTCTAAAACCCAAACTCCATCTCTCTCTCACACTTAAGAAGGTGTGCTTGAGTTCAAGCTCAAGCTAAACCTTTTGGCTGGTAAACTCACCAAGAAGTGAAGAGAGAGAGATGGAGTTTTAGAGAGAGAGAGGGAGATAGAGTTTGAATAGGGTGTTATTTTAGTGTTTGTTTTGGTAAAAAATTTACGGTCAAAGGAGTCTAGGGCGTTGTAAGATAAAAAAGATAGAGACATTTTACTTACAAGTAATATTTTTAATTTTTGGGTTTCATGAGATATGGAAGTTAAAAATAGAAGATAATAAGATATTTTTCCTTTTCTAAAAGCCATCATCCCAAACTTTTAGAGAAAGAAGTGGTTCATGTAGGTCAAAGGTTATTGGGAGGAGAGAGAGAGAGGTGTTTGGAGAAACACAGGAGGAGATAGAATGAAAGAGACACATGAAAAGAGAGAAAGTTAGATGTTTGGAGTATATAAGTGAAGAGAGAGAAATGATTGGGTTTAGAAATAACATGTCTTTTTCACATTTGTTTAAGTTAAAAAATAGGTTTAAAGTAGCCAAGATGTTAGAAGATATCTTTTGAAACTTTGGGTTTATCAATATACGAAACCTAAAACTCGGGGATATGGAGATATTTTCTCAAAAAAAAATGTATTACAAAACAAGTGTATATAAAAATTCAAAATTTATTGAGTACAATTATAAATATTATATAATAGGAACATCCTAACATAACCCTTTAATAATACTAATGAACTACATTATAAAATTTTATAACAAAATTTAATAATTTTAAAAATGGAGGTCCCAAGCCATAAAAACAAGCATACATGCAAAACCACTACTTGTTCCCTTATACTTCCCCTTGTTTCTTTCCTTTGTGCTTTGTTTAATGGATAATTTACTCACGTGCACTAAAACAAATAGGAAAACACAGAAAGAGCTATTTTTTCTTAAAAACTTACACTGAAGGTCAGTCACACTATAGTCTTTTTTAGTTTTTCAAGTTTGCCTCTGACTCTGATATTACAAATATTGGAGCGGTTTTTACTTTACTTTTTTTTTTCCCCTTGAACAATGATGCTAGTCCGAGGTCCTAGACCTAGGACCACTCTGTTTATGGCCTTAGGCCATAACAATACCAGAGGCCTAGGACCTTAGATTTCTGTCACAAGGACACTAGTCTGGGGGCATAGTTAGTAAGTTAGGGAATAATAAAAAGTTGGCAAGTCAAAATATCGGTAATGAATCGATTTTATTTCAAAAAGTCGGTAGAAAAAATCCGATAAAACAGATCGCCAAAAAAATGAGGTGTTATAAAGTCATGGATAATTTGGCTTTGCCTAAAAAACGGAGTGAAAAAATCGGATATGCAAAGATGATATAATATAGGATTATGATTTGCAATTATTGTATAGATACATTAAAGCCTTTGAACAATAATTTTATAGCCTTATCTAGTGTCAATAGAGTGATACTTGACAATTATTGTCCAAACTTTTAATAAGTCCAACGACAGTACTTACTCTGTTGTCACAACATGAAATATATCATAAATTTATTTGGAGCATAAAATGACATATAAATAATACTTAACACAAGAACTATATGTAGATAACAAGAACTGTAAACTAAGATACATGATGATTGTTTGAAGAAGAAAAAAAACACAAAAAAGACCTTCAATAGAGGATTACAATTAACTAAAACAAAATACATACCCAAATATGTAAAATAGTAGTCCATCCAAAATGCAAAGTTATATACACCAATGAAATAAAAAATAAAAAAATACAATTAATCAAACTTCTCTTTATATAAAGAAAGCAACAAAATGTTTAAGAAAATTAAAATATAATGTTGAATTCCTAGTTGCTTAAATATTTAGCATACAAAATCTTTAAGCAAATTTTAATCTCACACAAAATGCTCTTTTATAAGGATGCACTGGGTTTAAAGAAAAGAAAGAAAGAAAGAAAACATTTTTCATTGGGTTAGTTTGCTATTTCTACCTGTTATTGTGAGATATACGATTGTTCTTATATCTTGTTTTTTAGGGGATATATTATTTGTAATTTTTTGTAAACTATTTTTAAGGAAAATTATTGGCGAAACGTTTTATAGAATTTTACTTTAAATCAAGATTCTTAATTTACTCTGACTATTAATTTGCTTATCTTTAAATAATAATTTAATAATACTTAATTAATGAAGAAATAAAGTTATAAGGAAGAAGATTTTTTGAAAAAAAAGATAAAATGCGGGTTTACATCGGTTCCATAAAAAACGCCCTACTTTTTTTG